CTCAAGGTCACAGAGAGAAAATAGCCCACTAAGATTTATTAATAATGCAAGGACGCGGGCATCAAGTATGAGGAGAAGGAGGATAGCAAGCCAAGATGAGGAGGCCGCATTAGTTCTAGGTTGGAAAGGGAAAATCTTGCAAGACTGGTAAGTAGAGACGCTAGTGTAGGAGGACAGGCACAAGAAGCCAAGATGAGATGCTGCATTAGCGCTAAGGTTGCAGAGAGAAGAGTTCATGGAGGCTTCAGGGGAAATGTGAGCAATCCGGAAGATCTGTTTCCGGCTAGAGCAAACTTGAGAGCATGGCATCCAGGGCCATTAAAACGAATGAGAGGCCGCCCGTTATAGAGGTTTTGAGTGGAGTTTGATTGTTCATGATCGGTTACACCCTTCCACAGTTCGACAAGCTCACCTTCAGTCATCTTGTAGAAAAAATTTGTGAGACTTGTTGTAGCTTAATGTAAGGAGTGTAAAGTATTGAAGAAACATAAGAGCAAATGATGTTTACTTTTAGGTAGGAAATGTGACTTCTGATAAGTTAAATATTTGTGGATTCATCATTCAAGTGTTGGTCTTTTGATCGAATTTCCTGCAAACAACCTATATTTCTTCATCCATCACATTTTTGCATTTCTTTTTGAGCTTGGTTCACATAGCAACTAACTCGTCAAATTAGGTATGTGACATGAACGATGACTCCCTGTTGGGTTAGGAAAAATCTATAACATATAGCTGGTGCAGATTTGTTTGCCCATTTAATTGTTTAGATGCATGAAACAAACATCGGCTGATATCACTGTGAAATCAATGAGGAACCCCTAGTATTTACATGAGAACTCTGATAGTCATTTTGTTTTCCGTCCATCTTTTCTTAGTTTAGAGGAGACTGGACAGTAGCTTCCCTCTCGTGATGAAAAATGTGATGCAGCCAAACTTAGCAAAGTTCTGCCTCTTAAATCACAAGGACAGGGTCTTACAGACTGCGAGCTTTAGAAACTCACAGAACATAGAGGACATGGTCTCCAATACCTTTGGGTATTCTGATCCTGTCAAATTTGGGAATCAAAACTGTCCTACTCTAGTTCACAAATTTATATATTCATTTCACTTCACTCGTATACCGATTCTGAGTGGTGATTGGATTAACTCATATTCATTCATCTCTGTTCCTCTCAGCAGTTACATGTCTCCGTCGTAAGGTATAATAAAATTGTCGGAAGAGTCAAGAAAGCATAAGTCCAGCCATTTATTCTATAATAAGGTATTAGATCATAATGTGAAGTTCTTAAGATTATCTGAGCTAAATCTATGCAGTCAATGTTATATGAAGAGCACAACGCCTTAAAATACACGAAGTACCCTTCCAATATTGATTAAATTTATATATTTCAGTTTTTACTCGGTAATTAAAAAGAAAAGACAAATTAATACATTATTAATTACCTTATTTAAACAGATTAGTGAGTGATATATAATCAACCATCAAATGATTGACAAAACTTTCCAACTTGCACTTGAAAATATTATTTGAAAGATTTGCGTTGGGTGAGTTACCACTTTCTAATTTGACATTTTTAGCTTTAATTAAAATAGCAATTCTAATTTTTATTATTTAAAAAAAAAAAAAAAATCATATTTTAGCAGTTGTACCTTCTTTGACTTCTCTATACGATGGCCAATGGAATACTATTTTATTTTAAAAGACTAATTTCATCCCTATCATTTGTATTCTTAAATATGGTTTGAAGAACACTGAATTTGTTGTTCACAAAATAAAATACGCATGAGAACAACAGTCTATCATCCTAAGAAAGATGTATGTTAATGTTGTTCAATTAAACAAGTACATAAATTAATAAATTTGATAAAACATTTAGAATGAGATTGAGTTTCAATTTAATCATAAAACTACTAATTATATATGAAATACTAAATCTCCAAATTATGTCATAATTTAGGAAAAAACATTATATTAATTTATAACATTCACCTTCTCTAATTTGTTTTCTCTTTACATAAAAATACAATATGTTTGGTAATTAGTTTGGCAATAGTAGAAAAAAACCAACAACAATGGTATATAATTGTTAATGTGTATGTGTTACAAAAACTTAAAATAGGAACCAAAACGCAATGGATGACAGCATTCAATATTCAATAATAGATTTTCATAAAATATCGCCGAGGTTTACCTATTCATGGCGCTTTTTGGGCAAAATTTTTAAAAGAATAAAAGACATGTTTCCACCCAAAGATTGGCAAAACAATAATACTAGATATACAAACAAATCTTACAAAGATTTATGTACAAACTGATGTGGCATAAAATGAATGAAATAGTGAATATGATATATTCACTCAAACTTATCATATTCACTCTTTCATTTATTTTGTGCTACATCAGTTTGTACACAAATCTTTGTAAGACTTATTTGTACATGTAGCATTACTCTTAGCGAAATGACAAGATTCCAACCCCGATTTCATTTATTCCAAATTATTACCTTTAAATTAACAGAAAATCATTCAATGTAACAGACAAAGGGTAAAGTGGTCATTTGTACTTCATTAAATCTGAAAAGAAAATTTTCAAAAGAACCCTCTACATCTCAAATTTCTCTCACAAGCACCCTTGAGAAATAGCCTAGCAATCCCTACAATTTTGAAATCTGTCGACTGCACCCCTATAACAGAAAAACCCAGATCCGCCGCAACATCCAAAACTGTTACAGCAACAATCCCTGCAATCTAATCCAAATCTGCCATGGAGAAAGGAAATGAGAAAGAGAAAGAGAGAGGAGAAGGAGAAAAGAGAAGAGAGAAAGAGGCAGCAGCCAACAAAATAACACAAGAAAACCAACAAACAAACCACAAATCGTCAACCAACTCCGAAAAAACCCTAGTGAGAGAGGGCTTCAATTGGCGTTGAAAGGTGAGCAGTCAGGGATGGAAAACAAGGGGTTACTAGATAAGGCCATTTGATGAGTCAAATGGCGGGCTTGGTGAAGATTTTTGGTGATGGGGTTGGCCGGAAAGAAGTTGGTGGAGTGTAACACATGAGGTGAAGGGTGACGGCGAAAAGTTGGGATGGTAAGGGCAAGGTAGTCGGAAAATGGGGTAGGGGCAAGTTCTGTCATTGGAAAGTGCCAGAAAACAACCGAGAACGACACTGTTAACGTGCGTCGTCACCTGCTAAAATGCGCCATGGAAAAAAGGAATGTTGAAGAAGAATGTGTTATTGAAACAAATTTGAAAGTAAGATGATTATTTTTCTAATTCTACTAATTTGAGGGTTAAAAAGTAATTTATTAATTTATTTGTCAAGAGCAGTTTGATAATAACACTCTCTATACTGTGTCAGGACACAAAAATCATTAATAGTGTTAATTTAAGGGTGTGAATATGGAATAAATGAAACCAGGGGTGGAAACTTACCATCTCGCTAATATTTGGGTGCGAACATGTCATTTACTCTTATTAAAATGTACCCATAAACCATAACGTAATGTAGTTTTATTAAAATGAGGGGTAGTTTAGTCAATTGATGGAAAGTATTTGGTATAGGTAACTAGAGCTAATACTATTATAACCATTATCAATTGACTAAATTATTCCTCGTATGTTAAAGAATTGCACGATATAAAGGTTTGAGAGTATATTTTGGTAATTTAGACAAAAAAATATCACAAGTTTGATGAATAAGCAAAAATCTGTCCTTATGAAATACATCATAAGATTCATAACTATTGGATTTAGATAAATATAATATACTGATCTAGAAAGTAGAAACTTAAACTTAACAAAAGCTAATTAAACTGATAAAGCCTGATTATTCTTTGTAAAGAAGATAAAGGTAGAGAAAGTAATGCTTGAGTCGGACCCACGTTTGAAATAGTGGCCCCAAATCAATTAAATCAGAGAAGATTAAATCCACTCATTCACACCAAACGCCACAGATCCCCTGTGAACCTCCCCATGTTTGCGCCACGTTGATGGCTATATGTAGTACTCAAGGTCAAGGGATCGTTTAGTCATTTACTCACAATTCTATCTTTTTATTATACACTGTTCCTTTTTCTTTATTTAAAAATTGAGAAATGTTGCAGTTATCGAAGGGTGTGTATCGAATCTATACACCAAATGACATGATAAAATCCTAACCGTTGATTCATTATAAATTAATATTAATCAACGATCAGAATTTTGTCATGTCATTCGATGTGTAACTTTCGATAACTTTATCATTTTCCTTAAAAATTTGTCAAGTTTAGGGATATATTGTCCAATTTTATTTTTATTCAATATTAATGATTTTAATTAATTTGCCATTTAATTTTACAGTCCCAAAACACTCTTAAATAAAAATAAAAATTCAATCTATAATTATGATAAATAAAGAATTAAGTGAGAAGTAGATGGAAAGAGGGAAGAAAAAATGAAACTGAAAGTTATAATTAATAATCTTCTCTTAGAAAATTAAAATATTTTAAAAAATTATATACAAATGATGAAATTAAGTTATCTAATAATTTTTTATTATTATTGTTATTTTTTGAAATATTGATCCTATAAAAGATCAAATGTTTTACTTTTTAATTTTAAATAATTAGCTAAATAAAGTATTCTAGATGGAATAATACTACACTAATAATCTTTTTTTACAATTTTAACGTAACAATTCACAACCCACCCATTTGTAATGAATTTTATATAAATTCTAAATAAATGGTGCTAATTAATTATAAACTGTCTCGTAATTATTAAATTTTACGACTTGCTCGCAATGTTTCTCGTGGTTCAATAAAACAACATAAAAATACTAGTTTCAGCTTTTTGGAGATGAAGTGGTAGTATGTCATTGGCGAAGGAGTTGGACAAAAAAATATCACAGAAACAGAAGATAAAAACCAAATGAGACAAAATAACGACCGCATGTAAAATTGTAAACCGACATGAACGGTCGAAACACCAAACCAAAGATATTATTTGAGTTGCGAGCCGTCTCTTTCTCTTTCTCACTCTTGATGTTCCCTCTCTTTCCCTTTCTCTCTCCCACTTTGCTTAAAGGTTTCGAGTACTTAGAAGAAGAAAAAGAAACACGGAACCATCACGACTCCATTAAAAATAAAAATGACAACAAATTTATATATGATTGAGGACGATGAAGATTTCTCTGTGTCATTCTGTCTAATCTCGTTGCCATTGTAGTTGTTGTTAGCTCTTTCGACAACGACAACAGTAGCACTTTATGGCAGCGATGAAGGTTCGTAGTAGGAGGCGCGACGTCGTTTCATGGAGCAACTTCTTTTGGTGCACTGTCTTCATTGTCACCTCTTTCTTCACTTTCTCTGCAGTTCGCCTCTTCTTCGCAGGTACGCATACTTGCTTATTCTTTTTACTTAAATTTTTTTAATATTATTATTTTTAACTGAAAAATTGTTAAATTCATTATTTCTATTTTATAAAAACAGATAAATATCATCCAGTTCTTGGGTCCACGAGGCAAAATTCGATCTTGGAAGTTATGAAGGACGTAACTCCAGTTTCTCCGGCCGTCTCGATACAAGAAACGGTTATGCTTCCAGATCAGGTACTTGTTTACCTAAAATACCCTCCGTCGGCTCGGTTATTTGCCAAAGAGGACTTCCGCTGCGTTTATTCGTCGACCAACTCATCCTGGCCGAATCTCATCAAGCAACCGCCTATTCAAATAGACGGCGAGGATTTTGAGAACCAGATAGTACGGTGTTCTATCCCCCCGCGTGGCTTTATATTATCCCTTGATTTAAATCCACATGGGATTATCCCAATCGTTCACATTCAATGGTGGGACGCACTTGCTTACGAAGCTTTAATCGACCGTGATAATTCCACGGTTGTTTTTGTTAAGGGACTTAATCTACGGCCAGAAAGAATGTCCAATGCATCAAAATTCGAGTGTGTGTACGGCTGGGATTTTAGTAACACAAAGTTTCTGTTAAGATCAGAACTATTGTCAATCGGCCAGGAGATCGGACGGTGTAAGACACCTTTAAGTGTCTTGAACGGCCCCCAAAGAGGAGATAATTCTGTCAAAGTATCAATTAGGATCAAAGGTAAAGGTATATATCGCACAATAGCCCGCCCGATTCGCCGGTTGGATCGTAACCCGCCCGCCCGAAAGCAGCACCAAATGTGCATATGCACCATGTTGAGAAATCAGGCAAAGTTTATGAAGGAATGGGTGATGTACCACGCAGAAATCGGAGTCCAACGGTGGTTCATTTACGACAACAACAGTGAAGATGAAATTGAGATGGTAATCAAGTCATTATCTGATTCAAACTATAACATTACTAGACACGTTTGGCCATGGATCAAGACACAAGAGGCCGGGTTCGCCCACTGCGCATTACGGGCGCGGGAGTTGTGTGATTGGGTCGGGTTTATCGACGTGGATGAATTCTTTCACTTGCCGTCGGGATTAACGCTATACGACGTCGTGGGAAATTACTCCGCGGATAGTAAAATCGCGGAGCTACGTGTTTCCTGTTATAGTTTCGGACCATCGGGGCTCAAGCACGTGCCGGCTGAGGGAGTGATGGTGGGTTACACGTGCAGAATGGTTGCCTCGGAGAGGCACAAGAGTATAGTTAAACCAGAGGCGTTGAACTCTTCGTTGATCAATGTGGTGCACCATTTTCATCTGAGAAGTGGGTTTGGTTACGTGAATGTGGATAGAGGAACGTTGATAATTAATCACTATAAGTATCAAGTGTGGGAAGTGTTTAAAGAGAAGTTTTACAGGAGAGTGGCGACTTATGTAGTTGATTGGCAGGATACTCATAATGTGGGGTCAAAGGATCGGGCACCGGGGTTGGGGACGAGAGCGGTGGAGCCGGAGGATTGGTCGAGGCGGTTCTGTGAGGTGAATGACAGTGGGCTGAGGGAGCGAGTGTTGGAAAGTTTTGTGAACCCGCAGACACAGCTTTTGCCATGGCAAGAGGAGAAAGGAGAGGAATTAATTAGAATTGTAGTTGACAAGAAAAGGAGGCATGGGATTTTGTCATGACCATACTGTATGAAAATTTTATGATGGGGGGAATACATGTAGAAATACAAGATAGTGTATTTTGATCGTTTTGTAAATATATAAATTTACTAATCAAAAGTTGCAGTGATTATAATATAGAATGATTTTAAGAAATCGTGAATACATCTTTTGTAGCTTTTACTCTTTAGTTTTGTATCGTTTTGATGAAATAATAATGTCTTGTTTCGTTTACAACTGAGTAATAAATATAATATTATTCTTTTCTATTTTTTATTTGAACATGATAACAATTGTTACATAAGTAATACTATTTATACATAGTCATTTAACTGAAAATTATATACAAAAAGACGTGTCACAAACTGAATAAATAAATAAACCAAAAAATCAAAATTTTATATTTATTTTTTCTTTTTTGCCGTATATATTTATTTGCAAAAGGTGTAATATTATTGTTAATGTGTATGTTTAAATTGAAACATAAAAAAGTTTATTAAAGAAATTAAGCGTTGAAATTACAACTTAAAAAATCAAAATTTTATATTTACTTTTTTTTGCCGTATATATTTATTTGTAAAAGGTGAAGTATTATTATTAAAAGAGGCCACGCTGGCAATTAGTGGAACCCTTGCACATATCCCAAATTATAGCCGTTACAGAAGGTTTCAAATATCAATAAGACAAATAAATGCAAAAGAATTCGACCGTTAAGTCAGATTGTTCCTCTCACCCCCCATCCCAACCAACCCAACTGAGAAGAGTCTCAGAAAATGGTGAGTGAAGAACCGAATCAGAGCACCCAGGACCCAAAACAAACTAACCCAGTCCCTGAAAATGGCCAACATGCCGAGAGTCTGTTTAGCCCCAGATTCAAATCTGTGGCTGCCATGGCTGGTTGGGACGAGGAGGCCATTATTGTCGCCGCCCTTGTTGTCGAAGACACGCCTGTTCGGGAGTCTAAGCACAAGAAACGAACAGATCCGCTATTCAAGTCTCCAAACTCCAGTTCACGAAGGTATAATCGTGTTTGGTTATGAGAAAGATAAAATTTAGGGTTTTGAAAATGAACTGGGGCTTACCCAGCTAACAGATTTTAAAAGATTTAGTTTCTTTAGTTAGTTCTTTTATTTTCTTGGCAATTGAAGGAAACTTTGATTTGATTGGTTTTCAGTAAACGTAGAGCTCATAGGAGGAGCCCCGTGTCGATTCCTATACCCGTGTTAGACCTTGATGAAGAAGAAACTGCGAAAGAAGGTATTGATTTTGTCTTCATTTCTTGAGATTTAGTTTGGTTTCTGAGAAAGCTCAAAAGTAAAGAAAATGATTTCTTTTGGTATATATTATTATTTGAACAGAGAAAGAGAAAAAGAATGTAGAATTGAAAGAAAAGAAAACGAAAGTTGAGAAGAAAATAAAAGAAAATGAATTGAGTGAACAGAGTTCTGGAGTTTCTTGCTCAAATACGGTTCTCCAACGCATGGATAAACTCAGGGATGAACTTTCTTGTGCGGTGAGAATCTTTGAATCCATATTTTATCACTAGTTTCTTAATTTTCATGATAAAGCAAAACAGGGTTTTAATTAATTTTTAGTAACTATGTATATTTGGCAGATATGTCTGGAGATCTGCTTTGAACCTAGTACCACCACTTGTGGACACAGGTAAATATCACATATATGTTTTTTTTTTTTTTTTTAATAAAGGTTTAATATTCCAATAATTTACATTTGTTTTATGAATATGCTTTTTGGTATATTCTTCTGTTGAGGATTTGAATTATAGGATATACTCTTCTCCCGCATTTGAATGGTTTGCTTGTGGGGTGTGGCATTGATAAAAGTTAGTTAAGGAATATTATTATTTGCATAATGGACACGAACATAAATACTTTGTTTGTAAGTGCAAGTACTTGCATTTGTACTTGTATGTTTCATTGTTTTACAACAATTAGTTGTATTTGTATGTAGTTTCTGTAAGAAATGTTTGAGATCTGCTGCTGATAAATGTGGGAGGAAGTGTCCAAAGTGCAGACAGCTAATTAGGTAAAATTTATCCACAATTTTAAGCTAACAAGCAACTTCAATAATAAGGCAGTGTATTATATACTACTTGTATGATTTTGCAGCAATGGAAGATCTTGCACTGTGAACACAGTTCTTTGGAACACAATTCAGCTTCTGTTTCCACAAGAGGTTGAAGCCAGAAAGGCTGCTGGAGCCTTAAGTAGCCGAGAACTTGATCATGAAAATCTACAAAGAGGAATCCAGAACAATGTGAGGACTCGAAGTATGAGACCGTCAGCGGTATCAAACACAGATTCAACCACGAGGAGAAGGGAGATACCAAGCCTAGATGAGGATGAGGATGAGGATGCTGAATTAACTCAAAGGTTGCAGAGAGAAAATAGCCCACTAAGATTTTATAATAATGTAAGGACGCGGGCATCAAGTATGAGGAGAAGGAGGATAGCAAGCCAAGATGAGGAGGCCGCATTAGTTCTAAGGATGGAAAGGGAAAATCTTGCAAGACTGGTAAGTAGAGACGCAAGTGTCAGGAGGACAGGCACAAGAAGCCAAGATGAGGATGCTGCATTAGCGCTAAGGTTGCAGAGAGAAGAGTTCATGGAGGCTTTCAGGGGAAATGATGAGCAATCCGGAAGATCTGTTTCCTTGGCTACAGCAAACTTGAGAGCCATGGCATCGAGGGCAATTAATAACCGAATGAGAGGCCGCCCGTTATAGAGGTTTTGCCAGTGGAGTTTGATTGTTCATGATCGGTTACACCCTTCCACAGTTCGACAAGCTCATCCTTCAGTCATCTTGTAGAAAATACTTGTGAGAAGAATGTACGTTCATCTTGTTGTAGCTTAATGTTAAGGAGTGTAAAGATATTGCAGAAAACATAGAAGCAAATGATGTTTACTTTTTAGGTAGAGAATGTGACTTCTGATAAGTTAAATATTTGTGGATTCATCATTCAAGTTGTTGGTCTTTTGATCGAATTTCCTGCAAACAACTTATATTTCTTCATCCATCACATTTTTGCATTTCTTTTTGAGCTTGGCTTCACATAGCACTCAACCTCGTCAAATTAGGTAATGTGACATGACCCGATTACTCCCCGTTGGGTTTATGGAAAATATCTATACATGATAGCTGGTGCAGATTTGTTTGCCCATTTAATTGTTTAGATGCATGAAACAACACTGGCTGATATCACCTTGTGAAACTCAATGAGGAACCCCTAGTATTTACATGAGAACTCTTGATAGTCATGTTTGTTTTCCGTCCATCTTTTCTTAGTTTAGAGGAGACTGGACAGTATGCTTCCCTCTCTGTGATGAAAAATGCTGATGCAGCCAAACTTAGCAAAGTTCTGCCTCTTAAAATCACAAGGACAGGGTCTTACAGACTGCGAAGCTTTTGAAACTCACAGAACATAAGAATGACATGGTCTCCAATACCTTTGGGTATTCTGATCCTGTCAAATTTGGGAATCAAAACTGTCCTACTCTAGTTCACAATTTTATATCATTTTACTTTCCACTTCGTATACCGATTCTGAGATGGTGATTGGATTAACTTCATATTCATTCATCTCTGTTTTCCTCTCAGCAGTTACAATGTCTCCGTCGTTAAGGTATAATAAAATTGTTCGGAAGAGTCAAAGAAGCATAAGTCCAGCCATTTATTCTATAATAAGTGTATATTAGATCATAATGTGAAGTTCTTAAGATTATCTGAGCTAAATCTATGCAGTCAATGTTTATTAGGTAGAGCACAACTTAATCAAGAATACCTTATTACAGATTAAAGTTTATGCAATCTACATTTCAGAAAATGCCAAACCGATTATAATATTTTCTTTGTCACAATTTGACTTCTTCCTTTATTTTTTTCTCTCTCTTTATTTGACTAACTTCATCAAATTAAACAAATTGTGCTCTAAATCAGATTAATCGACTTGATCTACCAATATGGTGATGTCGTGTGCAATAAACTAATTTTGGGTTGGGAAGATCTGAACTGCTGATACAGAAAGTTAACTACCCAAGTTGGAAAATTTCCTTAATCCCATTGCCTATAAAGCCATTAACTTTGCAAACTAGTCTCACTAAATGTGTGTATTCTTGATTAAGAACCAAGATATTGTCAGTGGGAGGCAATTTATTCCATTTTCTTAGGTTTTCAGCGTCCTCGGATGCAACTGCTCCATCTCCAAGCATCCTCTCGCCTGAACCGGCTCCAGCAACTAGAACAAGTGCAGGAAATCCTACTTATGCTTGCCACACCTTTATTTTCTTTACTAGCCTTCTTGTTACCACATCGCCTCTCTTTTTTTAGATAATTAATCAGGAAAATATGATTGTTATGTTTCATAACCATGCTTGTTCCTAGTTTTAGTGCAAAAAAGGAAAGATGTGGAATAGCTTCATGGGGTGCCATTATTGAGGACTTTTCTTCCTTGCTTTACCATCAGTCTTTTCGTATCAGTTTTTTCTTCATGGGGTGCCACAGCCTTGCATGTGCCTCTATATATTATCTTATTTCTTGTCTTTTCATGGATTTATCTAATAGAAAAGATGAACCAGCATAATTTGGATAACCCAATTGCTTGTTTGTGGAGACTGTTTAAAGATGATGGTAATTTGATTATCTTAAGATTGTCAATTCCAATAACAATCAAGAAATGATGTTTAATATGCAAGATATGTATCTCTGTTGATTCATCTATGTATATATAATGGACTCTGTCAAACATGCAACCGATCCCTTTCTCATAAACAAAGAAAGCATGTCGACGTAACTTGCTTGATTTTTAATTACGATTTTATGAAAGTCAGCTTGATTTTGGGCAGCATTTTCTCAATGCTAAAGAATTTTTAATTCCCATTGTACTGCAATGAATCTTAGTACATAATTCAGTACAGCCGGCTTCAAAGCCAATCCCCACCGCAATTTTAGTCTAACTGTACGGAGACTAAAATATAAGCAATTAAAAATATTAAATTAAGCCAAGATATACGTCAACTACGTTTTGTTTCTCCACTTATATAAAACCATTAATTAGAGGCTATCCTCATTCATTCTGAGAATCAAAATTAAGTCTTTAGAAATGGCAAATATTAGAAGGTCATTGTTCTCCTTTGCCTTGGTTTGTGTGATGCTTGCAATGCTGGTGGGTGTTGGAATGTCTCATGAAGGGCATGACCACAGTGAGTCGCCTGGTTCTTCGCCGGGTGCTACCGCTGGCTCTCACGGGGGCTCTGCTGCAGCTGGCATGTCCCCTCATTTGTTTGGCAAAACATTGTTTGCTTCCTCGGTATTCTTTGTTGTCTCCCTCAATTACTAGCCATTTGGGATTGGTCATGTTTATGTTTTCTATTGAGATACGTTTTTATTATTGATGCTTCTGGTTCGTTTTAACTCTTGTTACATGGGAGGAAATAGATAAATAGTGTTTGTCATCTTTCTCTTATGAATTTGAACTCCATGGTAGAAATGATATACACCATGCAGAGAATGCTCATCACATCTTTCCTTGACTTCTTTCACCCATGTATAACAAGCTTGAAACTTAAAGAGTTTATTGATTTTTTTTTTTTTTTTTTTCGGATGATGAATTCTTTTAACATATCTTAAACCAAAACCAACGAGTTCCAGAAAAAAGTCACAGATATATCTGCCACCCAATTTCTTCTTCATATTCAAGAAGAAAAAGTAAGTATTTATCTGATATAAGTGTCATTTTTAACAACAAAAAGAAAGAAACAAAAAGAGGTCTCTTTCTATGAAAACAAGAATGCATTAATCATATATAAAAGTTATTAAGAATTAAACTGTTTAATAAAAGAAGCAAATAATATACATCAGTACCTGAATAAGAAAAAGAAGTTAATGTCTTAATGATATCAATCCCTGAGCAAATCACAAAACCCCCCTTAAGGTTTCAGAAATAACAAAAATCTCCATATCGTTAAGTTTTAAGTGTTAAAATCCTTGTTAAAGAAGTAATTTAATAATAATACTAACTCATATCGCTGTAAATTTTAATGTTTTACTAACATTTTATTAAGAGCAAGAGATTTTTCTTATTATGCCGTAACTTAAGGAGGTCCATGTCTTTTAAGCCTAGGAAAAAAGCAAGCCTGCATTATTTGATTATTATTTTACTTTGGATGGTTTATTTGAGCAATGTGGTCCATTTTGCTTCCGAAAAGCCAATTAGACATGAGATTTGATAAAACGTCTGCAACAAACCAAACTGTAAAATATTCATTCAAAGACTGTCGTACATTTTATATTCCGCCCCTGAACGTATTTGTCCATTAATTACTTTGAAAGATTAAGCTGTTATTTCATCATCAAAGTTTAACAAACTGATCTGTAATGCTGCAAAAATGAAAAATGAACCTCTTTGATTGTACAACAAAATTCATAAACATCTAGTAAGGTGAAATACAGGGAGAGCCATGTTCACAAAAAGGCTCAGCCACTAATTACAAATCGCACTCAACCAATTTTTCTTTTCCCCTTCCTTTCTGTTTTCAGAGTTACGTCTTTCACCTGTAATTGTAACAGTAATGCTAGGCTTACCGACCCAGCGACTGATTTGATATACTGACTCTGAGTTAAATTTTGAGATTTGGGTTGTTGGGTAGTGAGTCGGTATATAAAAATCGGTATTTGGGTCGGTAAATATAGTATTACTGTAATTGTAAACACTCTCATATTGTTCCCGTGTGAAATTCTGGTGGGGAAGACGCAAATTAATGTTACACAGATCATCAAACTACCAAATTAATTGCACAACCTTCTCATGATCTGGCTACTCTCAGACTCAAGTGTACATAGATTAAAGAATAAGTTAACTCAGTGTCGGTGAGAATGTTTCCGGTTGCCGAAACCATTTCTTCCTTTTATGATTTTACAAGCGATTGAAATGAACCCTATGACAGCCATAGCATAAAAAACCCTATACGGCGCCAATGCCAGTCCAGAGAGAAAGGAATAGTATCCAGCAACAGCGTACACAACATTCAGCCTCAGTTCCTGACCCAAGATGCTTGGGAAGGTAACTAAGGAATTGAAATCGGGCTTCGAGATGATAACACCATGAAAAATTACACCGATGCAAAGGACTGAATCCAAGAACCACGGAAAGCTATGCCCAATCCATATTCTCTGTAATCAAAGAAGAACTCTCATATAAGTGCACGAGCATATGTTTATTTAGAAGTTATAAGGCACGTCAATACAAGTTCAAGTCCACAGCTTCAATATCATACATGCATTCAATACACACACGTACACATACATGCATGCATATACATACATATCTTTCAAATTCAACATATGCTATATGATGCCCAGACCCAAGCATATCTTCCCTCAACTCATACATCGATTCATTCAACGTGAAAAGAAAATTAGAAATGGATAAAAAATCAATGTTTAATTATTTAGTGCTCCTAAAGCATGTGCTCCTTCTATAAAATGAATTCCACCAGTTAATTTATGTCTACGAACATGGTGCTTTGGGATAATCCATACCTGCAACCAAGCCATCAATGAGGGTACAAACATGAGGGTTGCAAGAAGATGCAGGATCACCAAGCCATGCCGGTGATGGAAAATCTCTAGTTGTGTGTCACTAAAACTTTTTGTTGAATTTGGACTATTGGAGTTAATCTCTTCTGATGGAAGATTATGGTTGAATCTTCCATCCTGTGTTGATGCAAATTGCTTAGACCGACCATTGCCATCACTGTTGTAATCAAATAGTTCCGTTTTCCAAACATGGCTACGGAAGGAAGCTGTCAAAGAACTGTAACAGAAACACAAAATAACTCTTAGGATAACCTTACCCACAACCGAGAAGGTTGATGGCATTTAATCATAAAGCTTTTGATATAGTTCATGATAATACAATGTTTTATTGAATAATTTTTTTTGATAACTCCTGGTTAATCAAAGAGTTGGCAGCTAGACGCAATAAATAGTTCAAATTCCACACCAGTTTGATGCTTACACTCCAATTATAAACAAGTGCCTTTTGAACATTAAGTACATGCAAAAAATAATGGGTTGAAGTATTACAGACCCAAGCAGCCCACAAAAGAATCAAATTCACTATGAACATAGTCCAAAGATTTAATTCGATAATTAATTCTTGCATAGAACACAAAGATGATGGTAAAGGAAGAGACTTAAAACTAAAAATATACCTGCACAGTGAATTATGGCAACACAAAGCATGAGACATGAGAAGTACGAATAGACCCAAAGCTGGATGAACAATGCACACCAAAGTAATTGCAGCCAGTGTTGTAACAATTAACGGATGGACTCTTAGAACCCTTACCATCTGTTTTTTCAGAGAACCAGAAAAACGTTTATGAGTGAAAACATCAATCTCCATCCATGAAATAGGAAAGAAAAGTGGAAAAAGATCAAAATGGAATAAAGAAGTCTTCAACCACCAATCAATAGTAAGTGATATTAACTACATCTCTACCAGAGTTTGTACCCAATTGTGGTATATTTGTATCTACCCCTTCTAAAGAAATAGTCAAACATATTAAAAGGATCAGTTTCAGTTGTAGCCTACTGGATTGTTTATTAAAATGAAAACAGCAAAGCATAAAAGCTAGCCACACTTTTAACCTCAAATTGAATAAATGCAAGTAAACATAAGGACAGCCATTAACCCATCATGAGCTACTAATCATGCAAATACCAAAGAGGTCAACTGACCTTTAATGAAAAGAAACTGGAGGAAAGATTGGCAAACCAAAGAAGGAATCCAAAGCAAAAATTTCCTTCCCATGCTTGCCACCTGAAATATTCAACCCCAACTGTTCAGCTTATAAACAAGTAACTTCAACACACGTACACAAGGATGAACAACTAATATATTGCAGAAAAAGAAAATGGCAAGGAGAAAAAGAAAAACAGTTTAATTTCATATTCCAAAAAAGGTTACATAGAATTCAATTCCCACCAACAAGATCTCAGGAGAAACTAAAAATTATTTGAAGTAAAACAAAATAATAACAAGTTCATTAATTCAAAAATGAAAAGTTGATAGAATATCCATCAAATCACAAGAAATGGTACGTAATTTCTCAAAGAAAATCATAACAAATTTTCTCAATCACTAAGCAAATGGCATTTCAAAAACTTTCCAAAAGTGGTTAGAAGAAGATTCAATGATGTATGGGATAAATCTCCTATACTTTTCTTATGATTATTTCTTTTTCCAGTTTTGTCCAAAAGTATCAAGCTGTAAACCACTGAAAAACAAATTATATGAATACTGAGTTACACCACATGAAAAGTGGAGAGAGCCAACCAACCTTGTCTTAATGAATACATGTATAGTGGCAGCCACATAGAAGAACAACTGTGAAGCCAATACCAGTAGAACTATCAACCCATTTGCTAATAAATAACAAATCATTGACACAATGGCAAAGCTCATGATGGGAGGAAAGGGTTGAGACATTAGGAAGGAAAGAATCAAGGAAACCAGAATGGGTAGAACAGCTAAAGGCAAAAATGGAATTGGCATTTGTAAATTGGTTTCTACGGCTGACAGCATAGAAGGGATAGGCAAATCAAGATCCCACGCATATGCTTGCTGCATGAGAGCAAAAAATATAACAGCAACAGACAAACCAGCTATCTGCAAAAGAGAAGTCCAGCAGCATGACAACATAAAAATTATATCATGAACAAAACTAATTATATCATCTTATTCCGAAAAAAAAAAAAAAAAAAAACAAAAAGACATATATCAGCAATGGAAACAGAAGATGAATTTAACAAATAAGAGAGCACAGAAACAATTACTCGTCTTTTATTGGATACAAGTTTTTTTTTCCCCCTTTTCCTGCAAAGACTTACTAATATTTCATCAAAACTTGGATGCCAAAAAAGGTCAAAACTGAAACGTGTCCCTACAGACTCATGGAAAAACAAGAACATTCATCCATGCAGTTGAATTACGATTTTGGAGCTTATCCCATGTACAAGGGGCCCTTGTGTGCTCTTCTTAATTAATCACACAAAAAAAGCTTCAAACCAATTCACAGTAGTGAATTTTCTTTTGTATATGGTACATGGCGCCTCTCCTTGCATCAATGCTGTATACTAGAAGATTATTCATGAACAGCAACAAGAGCAGTTTTTACCACAAAATTTAAGTTTAAATGACTTCTAATGACAACTATAGTGAAATAGACTAATTGTTCCATCAAGACCCATTACATATACTAATTGGTTGGACAAAGGACAATATTTGAACTAATGCTGAAAGTTGAGAAGTTCCATGTCATAAGTTGCAGTAATTGTAAACACTCTCATATTGTTCCCGTGTGAAATTCTGGTGGGGAAGACGCAAATTAATGTTACACAGATCATCAAACTACCAAATTAATTGCACAACCTTCTCATGATCTGGCTACTCTCAGACTCAAGTGTACATAGATTAAAGAATAAGTTAACTCAGTGTCGGTGAGAATGTTTCCGGTTGCCGAAACCATTTCTTCCTTTTATGATTTTACAAGCGATTGAAATGAACCCTATGACAGCCATAGCATAAAAAACCCTATACGGCGCCAATGCCAGTCCAGAGAGAAAGGAATAGTATCCAGCAACAGCGTACACAACATTCAGCCTCAGTTCCTGACCCAAGATGCTTGGGAAGGTAACTAAGGAATTGAAATCGGGCTTCGAGATGATAACACCATGAAAAATTACACCGATGCAAAGGACTGAATCCAAGAACCACGGAAAGCTATGCCCAATCCATATTCTCTGTAATCAAAGAAGAACTCTCATATAAGTGCACGAGCATATGTTTATTTAGAAGTTATAAGGCACGTCAATACAAGTTCAAGTCCACAGCTTCAATATCATACATGCATTCAATACACACACGTACACATACATGCATGCATATACATACATATCTTTCAAATTCAACATATGCTATATGATGCCCAGACCCAAGCATATCTTCCCTCAACTCATACATCGATTCATTCAACGTGAAAAGAAAATTAGAAATGGATAAAAAATCAATGTTTAATTATTTAGTGCTCCTAAAGCATGTGCTCCTTCTATAAAATGAATTCCACCAGTTAATTTATGTCTACGAACATGGTGCTTTGGGATAATCCATACCTGCAACCAAGCCATCAATGAGGGTACAAACATGAGGGTTGCAAGAAGATGCAGGATCACCAAGCCATGCCGGTGATGGAAAATCTCTAGTTGTGTGTCACTAAAACTTTTTGTTGAATTTGGACTATTGGAGTTAATCTCTTCTGATGGAAGATTATGGTTGAATCTTCCATCCTGTGTTGATGCAAATTGCTTAGACCGACCATTGCCATCACTGTTGTAATCAAATAGTTCCGTTTTCCAAACATGGCTACGGAAGGAAGCTGTCAAAGAACTGTAACAGAAACACAAAATAACTCTTAGGATAACCTTACCCACAACCGAGAAGGTTGATGGCATTTAATCATAAAGCTTTTGATATAGTTCATGATAATACAATGTTTTATTGAATAATTTTTTTTGATAACTCCTGGTTAATCAAAGAGTTGGCAGCTAGACGCAATAAATAGTTCAAATTCCACACCAGTTTGATGCTTACACTCCAATTATAAACAAGTGCCTTTTGAACATTAAGTACATGTAAAAAATAATGGGTTGAAGTATTACAGACCCAAGAAGCCCACAAAAGAATCAAATTCACTATGAACATAGTCCAAAGATTTAATTCGATAATTAATTCTTGCATTGAACACAAAGATGATGGTAAAGGAAGAGACTTAAAACTAAAAATATACCTGCACAGTGAATTATGGCAACACAAAGCATGAGACATGAGAAGTACGAATAGACCCAAAGCTGGATGAACAATGCACACCAAAGTAATTGCAGCCAGTGTTGTAACAATTAACGGATGGACTCTTAGAACCCTTACCATCTGCTTTTTCAGAGAACCAGAAAAACGTTTATGAGTGCAAACATCAATCTCCATCCATGAAATAGGAAAGAAAATTGGAAAAAGATCAAAATGGAATAAAGAAGTCTTCAACCACCAATCAAGAGTAAGTGATATTAACTACATCTCTACCAGAGTTTGTACCCAATTGTGGTATATTTGTATCTACCCCTTCTAAAGAAATAGTCTAACATATTAAAAGGATCAGTTTCAGTTGTAGCCTACTGGATTGTTTATTAAAATGAAAAAAGCGAAGCATAGAAGCTAGCCACACTTTTAACCTCAAATTGAATAAATGCAAGTAAAAATAAGGGCAGCCATTAACCCATCATGAGCTACTAATCATGCAAATACCAAAGAGGTCAATTTACCTTTAATGAAAAGAAACTGGAGGAAAGATTGGCAAACCAAAGAAGGAATCCAAAGCAAAAATTTCCTTCCCATGCTTGCCACCTGAAATATTCAACCCCAACTGTTCAGCTTATAAACAAGTAACTTCAACACACATACACAAGGATGAACAACTAATATATTGCAGAAAAAGAAAATGGCAAGGAGAAAAAGAAAAACAGTTTAATTTCATATTCCAAAAAAGGTTACATAGAATTCAATTCCCACCAACAAGATCTCAGGAGAAACTAAAAATTATTTGAAGTAAAACAAAATAATAACAAGTTCATTAATTCAAAAATGAAAAGTTGATAGAATATCCATCAAATCACAAGAAATGGTACGTAATTTCTCAAAGAAAATCATAACAAATTTTCTCAATCACTAAGCAAATGGCATTTCAAAAACTTTCCAAAAGTGGTTAGAAGAAGATTCAATGATGTATGGGATAAATCTCCTATACTTTTCTTATGATTATTTCTTTTTCCAGTTTTGTCCAAAAGTATCAAGCTGTAAACCACTGAAAAACAAATTATATGAATACTGAGTTACACCACATGAAAAGTGGAGAGAGCCAACCAACCTTGTCTTAATGAATACATGTATAGTGGCAGCCACATAGAAGAACAACTGTGAAGCCAATACCAGTAGAACTATCAACCCATTTGCTAATAAATAACAAATCATTGACACAATGGCAAAGCTCATGATGGGAGGAAAGGGTTGAGACATTAGGAAGGAAAGAATCAAGGAAACCAGAATGGGTAGAACAGCTAAAGGCAAAAATGGAATTGGCATTTGTAAATTGGTTTCTACGGCTGACAGCATAGAAGGGATAGGCAAATCAAGATCCCACGCATATGCTTGCTGCATGAGAGCAAAAAATATAACAGCAACAGACAAACCAGCTATCTGCAAAAGAGAAGTCCAGCAGCATGACAACATAAAAATTATATCATGAACAAAACTAATTATATCATCTTATTCCGAAAAAAAAAAAAAAAAAAAACAAAAAGACATATATCAGCAATGGAAACAGAAGATGAATTTAACAAATAAGAGAGCACAGAAACAATTACTCGTCTTTTATTGGATACAAGTTTTTTTTTCCCCCTTTTCCTGCAAAGACTTACTAATATTTCATCAAAACTTGGATGCCAAAAAAGGTCAAAACTGAAACGTGTCCCTACAGACTCATGGAAAAACAAGAACATTCATCCATGCAGTTGAATTACGATTTTGGAGCTTATCCCATGTACAAGGGGCCCTTGTGTGCTCTTCTTAATTAATCACACAAAAAAAGCTTCAAACCAATTCATAGTAGTGAATTTTCTTTTGTATATGGTACATGGCGCCTCTCCTTGCATCAATGCTGTATACTAGAAGATTATTCATGAACAGCAACAAGAGCAGTTTTTACCACAAAATTTAAGTTTAAATGACTTCTAATGACAACTATAGTGAAATAGACTAATTGTTCCATCAAGACCCATTACATATACTAATTGGTTGGACAAAGGACAATATTTGAACTAATGCTGAAAGTTGAGAAGTTCCATGTCATAAGTTGCAAGTGTCTCCCAGAAATTACATTCCCAAGCTGAACATTAAAATTAATGGTAAAACCAAAGATAAATTTTAGAAAACTGACGAAAGTTTATATCCAACATCAAATAAACAAGAATATCTGCAATCTTGAATTTAATCACCTGTGAGCTATATAAAAGCAAAAATCTGCTGGCAGCTGCAGTGATAGAAACGGCTACGCTAGTTTTATATGAGCAATGTGGATCAACCTGCAGAAGGATGCAGAAATGAAAACCTTAAATTAATAAAAATGGAAGTAATTTTTTAAATAATATAATACAAGAAAACAAACTTCTTTGGAAAACTTCATACCAGCAGTAGAACAGTGGTCTTTTCAGATCTCTGTGAGAAACTCAAAATTGCTGGAGAAGAATCAACAACAATAGTCTCACTGTACAAGTTTGGAAATATGTGAAGACCTGACATGGGATCCCAGGCAAGTGCTACAGGTGGGAAACAACGCATTTTGCAAAGTCCTGAAATGCCGAGAAGCTGGCTCAGTAGAAAAAAGAAATTTAAAGGAAAAAACTAATAATATTATGATTATAAAGAAATTGCTTGGTGACCAAAAGCCACAAGATGTGATCAACATAGAGTCTCTACCAAACGACAGATGTCTTTGAACCACAGAGAAACTTAAACCTTACAAAATATTCAGAGGGTTAAATTTCTCAAGTTTATAAGGTGGCACTAAGAAGTCAACCCAAAAAAAAAAAAAAAAAGAAAAAAGAAAAACAATAGAAACTGTCAGCTCCAACATATCCTCTCATTTGAAATGCAAGTGCATAAAATTCCACAACAAAAACATAGACACAACTTATTATAATTTCATTACTGCAATGGAGATATTCAAACATAAGACTACTTGGTCAACCTGACTCCAATACTACGCTAAATATTTCTAAACAATATTAAAATATTTGCACCAAAACTGGTGCCTACAACACAAGTTACCAGAGTCAGAAAATGATTTAACTTTCAGAAAAAAGTATCCCACTTTGGGCACTGGAACCACTTACTCTTGCACTCAAATATTTGTGATCTTTCATATGAATATTCATAAATACTTCATAAACAAAATAAAGAGTATAGTCTAGAACAGCCTGCATAATTAACCATTTCAGACACAGCATTTCCGCATTGCATGGAAACTTGTAAATATTACACTGAAGTCAATCATAGTCCATATAGTCAAACGCACATAAGAAGAAATGATATTGAAAGATTATACATAGATTTTGTATGAATAACAAGAAAAGGCAGTTAGCGAGATTTAATTCCTTACTACTGTTTTCCATGTGTCCAGTTTCCTCATCTGGAAGCGCAGCTTTCTTTATTCCACAGCTTTCAGTTCTCAAAGACAAAGTTGCAGGCAAAAGGCCTAAGCTAATAGCAAATGACAGATTGAAAGTGAGGGGATGATCCTCCTTCAGAAACATTTCCTGTACAACATTGGAATAATGAAAACCAAGTCACCTGAACAGGCAAAACTAATCTAAGCAGTTATAGGTTTAATTTTCTAGAATTATAACCCGAAAGTAAGTGAGCTGCTTATGGAAATATTAACCTTAGGAGAATATGTAGATAGAAGCATTGATTGTGGAGAAAATTCAATTTCCCCTTCCTGTGGATTAAAGAACTGCCCAACTGCCATGGAAGCTGCTGGTGGAGGCCTACCTGAAAAAGTCTGAGGACCAGCAAATCACCACAAATCATGTGGCGTACATGTTACTATCAGAGTCAGCAAGAGAACAATCAAAACATTCATTTATACAATTATAAAAGAGGAAGAAAATTTACAAAAAAAAAATCTGATGCAAATGAAGTTGTCAATTTGAAAAAGGAAATGCTCATGAGAATGAAGACCAAACAATACCGGACGAGGTGCAACAGAAATAGTCAGAAATCTGAAACCACGCATATCCTCTGGACCCAACTGAAATATTGAAGATGGAGGCACTTGCTCTGTCTGACTGCCAGGTTCAGTCTGATGAAGAAACAGCGTATTCAGGAATGTGTCTCAACAAAATTAGTGAAAGATCTATTCATATAACAGAGCTCTGATTGCAACATGATCTTAAATCTCAATACAATATTTATTCACTTATACAAGACAAACAATTTATTCCAATTGAGAATAGAGCATCATAGGTACAACAACTAGTACCTGCCTCGGTGCTTGTCGTGATGGAATGTGAACCATCTTTGATGTCACCTCTAGAGCCCTTTCACTTGCAGACAGGTCCGAAGTTGATTTCCCTTTTTCAGGCCATAGATGAATTCTAACCCCAAAACATGGAGCAAGGTTTGTCACAAATATGAAGTGACTTTTTCCGTTTGAACTCTACACATACAAGGAAAACTGTAAGCCATAGTGTTTTGGTCTTCAAAAGTAAAAAATAAAATGCAAAAGAACTAATATTATCAGAAAAAAGATTAACTTGGCCATGAAATCGATCCTTTTTCTTCTCATTTTTTTCCCTTCTTTTTTGAAACTTAAAAATATAAACCAAGCCCCTACCCCTGCCCAAAAAAAAGACACCTTTGCATGACAGGGAGTTGATCCCAAGACGTCTTGTACATGCCTAAGAGGTCCAACCGACTAAACTAGTTAATATCTACTCTTTTCTTACACACCCCATTAAGGGTTTATAACTTACTTAAATTTTAAGCCTCATAAACTTTTTATTCAGTATTCATCATCTACACTTCCAAAACAACTAATCTTAACCCCAAAAAAAGCTTAAACCCACTGGACATGGCATTTCGAAGGAGAATTCCTGACCTGAGACCAACTTTCAAACCTTGCTAGGTAGCAAGAGGCATGAAAATAAGGGCAAATTGTTAAAACAAACTCTCAACAGTCAGCATGCTAAGTATCTGACCGCAGAAAAATGATCAGAAAAAAAAGAATAAAATTGTTTCTGGAGTAGAGATGAAAAACTCTGCCCAGCTTACCAATTTCTGTATGTCTAACCACCGCCTCCTCCCATCCATGGCCAAAACAGTCACAGTAGTTGTCTGAATGTATAGATCCCTCTCAAGGCCATCATCACTCCAATGCACAGAGCTGGGACAACTAGAAAAAGTACGCACTTGAGAATCTGCAAGGTGGTATTCCACAAATTAGACAACTTTTAATTATATATAAAATGGTACAAAACTTGTAACACATTTCAGCATACACTATGCAGTGCAAGAGAACAAAAGGTTTTCCATGTCATAAGTCTAGAAATTTGACACATGGTTATACTTAAATGAAGCAGATATTACTTGGCTAAAATCTGAGAAGATAAAAGAATGAACATTTAAACTCATAAGGACAGCCTATAAATAGTCTCCTTCCTAGATGTCGAGGTGGAATCAAGTTCCTATAGTTTTTCAACTAAGAGTATTACATTAAATTGGGATTCTTGGGCCCTGTTTGGGAGAAAGGATCAAACAATTGTGCTCTCCAGGTAAGTTTCTGCCGATATCAAGGAAATAACATGTAAACCCTGAAGTTGTATTTTTGTAAACTGACAGTTTTTAAAAGCTCACAAACCATAATAGCTAAAATCACCATCAATTTTTTTCCAACAAAATATTTCAGAAATATTAAAAAAAGAAAAAAGAAATCATAAATATTTTGGAAATTTACAAAATGGAAAATACAGTGTTTTAAAACTATCAAGATAATGTGGAGAAAGATAATGAGTAATACTACATTTACAAAGATCTTCATACAAAGTGATGTGGCAAAATATGAATGGAAAAGTGAATTTAATGAGTTTGACTTTTTGTTTCACTCTTCCATTCATTTTTTGCCACCTCACTTTGTATAGAAATCTTTGTAAGATTTCTTTGTAAGTATAGTATTATTGAAAGATAATACCAGCTGCATCTTTTACATCCTTCATGGGAAGAGCATTTGACTGGTGTGATTGCATCATCCAATTAAAACTTTCGGGTGTTGCACTACGAAGCATCCTTGAAAATATTGCTAGTCTTTTTCTAGTGTCAAGAAAAGGCTGGCCGGTTCTGGAGTCAATCAAACTAAGGAGAGTATGCGAGACCTACATAAAAGATAGATATTCAAAACTGTCCACAGTAGAAATAAATATTGATTCTAAAAGAAAGTTTCACTCACTTGAACGACTAGTTGATTACACCATAAAATAGCTTGATGTTCCATTGACAGCCACACATTTTTCATGCCCATACTAGTTATCATAAAGCCATGGGTGGAAGGCACAATACCATCAAGGGATTCTAACTCTGACCGCACCTGAACAAAAAGGGAAAATAAAAGTTGGAAGACATTTAAAGCTAAAAGCAGAACAAAAACAAAAATAAAAGCATGAACATCTAGATCCAAATCAAGCACATGCAAACATTCCATTGAAAATCAAAGTAAGGTAATGATATAACCATTTAAACTGATCAAAACAAGTATTAGATGCAATTCATGGCAAATCTTAACATATTTTGCATGTGACCTAGCTTCATTTAGTAAATGGTGAACATATAAAGCAGCTTTTATTATTTGATAGAGCAATCATTCTCAAGAAAAACAACCATATACCATTTATAATAGAGTAAGACTCAACAACACAAATATACCTGATAGTCATGATAACCACCAGAAATGGAAACAACAACAACATGAGAAAGTCTAGGATCAGATACATGATGTCCTGTCAAAGTGGTATGGACCTCATATCCCTTTCTCCATTCATGATTTACACTAGCAAAATAGTAACCCAGGGATGGCTGCAATGCCAAAGGAGGGGATCTGGATAAAACAGGCAAATCTCATAAGAAAGCCAATAAATCAATAAAAAATTTTAAAACCAATGACATTGAAGAAGCCATAAACTTACTGGTGTGGGCTTGAAAGCGTGAGTACAGTCTCGACAGCTGACTTCCTTAAAAGTGGGTGGATAATAGCAGCTCTAGCAATAAAACCACCCATAGAGTGACCAACCAATATCACACTTTTAGGCAAACTCCCAGACGCCGCAGAACCTTCTCTCTCTCGAGCTTCATGAGATTCTCTATACTGATCCAAAATCTGCAAATATTCCCAGACATTAATCAATGGCATAAATGAAAAGTCACAAACAAAAGAAACCACACTCTAGCAAACGAGAAACGCTTCAAGCTTAAATCATTCTGAGAGAACTTAAAGGCAGCATCATTTGATGGAAATTTTGGTGTTATTATTGTATCAATAAGGTATGGTCTTATCAAAGTTGATTGTACTACAAAGACAAAAGTCAAAAGTTAAACTCAAGGGAAAATTGGTTTGAGGCTATGAAAAAATAAAATTTGAAGGGCTAAAAAAAATGGGAAAGTGGTTTGAGGCCATGCTGGAAAAGCATAAAAACAGACAACTTTTTCCAATTCATGTACTTATAGGTAATAATAAAAATAATATAGAATTACAGAAGCCAATCCAAAAATTGTAGGATGATGCTTCATCAAATTGAGACAAGAAAAGGGCTTTTTGGACCTTCATTGTGTAGCCTCATACCACCCCCTTCCAATATGAAGCAGGCACTTTGAACTACATTCCAATATAATTCCAGATTTAGAAATAGTTCCAAGTTCTATGATAAAGCTTCTAAACCGTCAACTAAAAGAAAAAAAAAAGGTTCCTGGTGTAATACTAATAATAACACAAAGCATGATCTCAAAAGTCACCATACTGAACATCAAAGATTTCAATTTGATTGACATTAGAAAAATATTTACTTGTGCTGAGGACATTAACACAATCAAAAAAGTTTAAGTGATACCCTGTGGATGGCATACACAACATATTCTGCATGCTCTTCAAGTATCTGACCATCCATTGCAGAATGTTCACCTTCAAGATCCACAGCAAACCAGTCCAGTCTGCAAGAATACTGATTGGGTAATTGAAAGCCAGATGCGTTCATATCTGCACCGCCTTCCTCAGAAGTCAGGAACACTTCTTGATAAAATGAATGTTCAAGTGAACCTCCTTGATATGCCCTATCAGATTCGGCTGCTAACGATCGAACCTGAGATAAGTATGAAGCTGTTAAATTTTCTATGAAGAGAGCTACACAATTCAAGTGGAGGCTCACTATATGATATGACATTATATATAATATTATCTTCGCTGTAAATTGTTTACCAAAATTTTCAAAAATTATTGCATAATGAAATATGTAATGCATATTCTGGATTTGATGGACTGGATCACTTTATTGGCAAAAAAAAATTCTTTATTCCAACAGGACTCATAAAATTCAGATTGTTAACAAATTATCAAAACACAAACAATTACTAAAAATGGCCGATTAAAATCATGAAGCAAACCCACCGTCCAATCTACACTGAAACATAAGCCTCTTCCAATCTACACTGAAATAACTACCTCTGCCTTACTGGCTACCACAATAAGCAAAGCTCCAACTAAGCCATCAACTCAGCCAAATTCACTGGTTTCAACATCTTAAAAATACAAAAGACAAAAAATTGATGCTAAGATTAGACCCTTACTAAAAGTCTTCATCTCAGGTCACTTAAGCCCATTTAACAGAGTACAGAGCTTCCATTCATCAACTCTTCCATATTCAATAGGCAAATGTTCAAAACTCTTAATGCAACAACTATAAATCTTGCATCATACCACAGAGTTCTTGCTTCCAATGCCCTAAATCTATTCCCCAACTCTTCCATTCGTATTCCCTCAAAAGAAAAAATCTCTACATAAGTTCCAACTTGAATTAGTTTTTGCAACACCTTGCGAAACAAATCTCCAGCTAAAAGAGAACTTAAAGAAGCATGGTTTAGCATTGCTAGAGTAAATCTAAAAATGCTCCTCTAATTCAAAAAAAAACTGATCATATAAAACGAACATTAAATAAACAACAGAATAACAATCAAAAGTAATAAAGAATAAGGAAGACCTTGCCTGTTTGTAGCTACCACCATTCCCGGGAATAAAAAGAACCGGTACACCATTAAGCTGCTTCAAATGCTCCTTAAAATCAATTTTTCTCCAACCTTCATGATACAAATACAACCCATACTTCATCGACGAAGTTCCTTCAGTTGACAAAATCGGAATGTATGTAGGATACATATAGGTCATAACACATCCATTCGAAATCGGCTTTAACAAATGATACAAAGCAGCAATGCCAATCCACAGAGTTAAAATTACAGTAGCTGCAACTCTCAAAGTCGCTCGAAAACCTCTCATCGTGGAATCGACAAACAATATCTACTCCACTTAACTCAGTAAACCACTCTGTCTTTAACCATCACCCTACCAAGAAAGAGTAGCTCATCAACTTAGCAACAACAGGATCAAAAGTCTCTTTACAATAATCGCAAGAAGCAACAAAAGTGTAACCACAAAAAGCAGATTCTTCGTAGATCTGTTTCATAAAGTTAACTTTGACAGTAGATTTATCACTGGCGACTGTACAGAAGAGATGTATCCGAATGAAGGCGAAAAGAAAAAACAGAGAGTTAAAGCTGAACAAAAAAAGACCGTTCAAATTTGATTGAGTACCAAATTATACTACAAATGTGAAAGCGTACCTCGTTCGGAAAGCTTGGTTGAGAAGCTTGTAAGAGCGGTGATGAAAGGGAATCAGTGAGATCCGTGAAAGTTTCTGTTCGCTCTTAAAAGAGAGACATTTTAAAGAACGATATATATAATCGGGTATTCGGGCTTGCTACACGGGTTGTTCCTCGATTTTCTTTCCGGTCAAAGGGTGGGTTGAGTTTTTGCCCAAGTATGAGAAGGTGAAAACTTATTAGAATAAAAAATTCAAAAGAAAAAAATACAGACAAAATTTGGGGATTTTTGAAAAAATAGAAAAAGGCTGTTTTTTCTAATACCAGCTGCATCTTTTACATCCTTCATGGGAAGAGCATTTGACTGGTGTGATTGCATCATCCAATTAAAACTTTCAGGTGTTGCACTACGAAGCATCCTTGAAAATATTGCGAGTCTTTTTCTAGTGTCAAGAAAAGGCTGGCCGGTTCTGGAGTCAATCAAACTAAGGAGAGTATGCGAGACCTACATAAAAGATAGATATTCAAAACTGTCCACAGTAGAAATAAATATTGATTCTAAAAGAAAGTTTCACTCACTTGAATGACTAGTTGATTACACCATAAAATAGCTTGATGTTCCATTGACAGCCACACATTTTTCATGCCCATACTAGTTATCATAAAGCCATGGGTGGAAGGCACAATACCATCAAGGGATTCTAACTCTGACCGCACCTGAACAAAAAGGGAAAATAAAAGTTGGAAGACATTTAAAGCTAAAAGCAGAACAAAAACAAAAATAAAAGCATGAACATCTAGATCCAAATCAAGCACATGCAAACATTCCGTTGAAAATCAAAGTAAGGTAATGATATAACCATTTAAACTGATCAAAACAAGTATCAGATACAATTCATGGCAAATCTTAACATATTTTGCATGTGACCTAGTTTCATTTAGTGAATGGTGAACATATAAAGCAGCTTTTATTATTTGATAGAGCAAACATTCTCAAGAAAAACAACCATATACCATTTATAATAGAGTAAGACTCAACAACACAAATATACCTGATAGTCATGATAACCACCGGAAATGGAAACAACAACAACATGAGAAAGTCTAGGATCAGATACATGATGTCCTGTCAAAGTGGTATGGACCTCATATCCCTTTCTCCATTCATGATTTACACTAGCAAAATAGTAACCCAGGGATGGCTGCAATGCCAAAGGAGGGGATCTGGATAAAACAGGCAAATCTCATAAGAAAGCCAATAAATCAATAAAAAATTTTAAAACCAATGACATTGAAGAAGCCATAAACTTACTGGTGTGGGCTTGAAAGCGTGAGTACAGTCTCGACAGCTGACTTCCTTAAAAGTGGGTGGATAATAGCAGCTCTAGCAATAAAACCACCCATAGAGTGACCAACCAATATCACACTTTTAGGCAAACTCCCAGACGCCGCAGAACCTTCTCTCTCTCGAGCTTCATGAGATTCTCTATACTGATCTAAAATCTGCAAATATTCCCAGACATTAATCAATGGCATAAATGAAAAGTCACAGACAAAAGAAACCACACTCTAGCAAACAAGAAACTCTTCAAGCTTAAATCAGTCTGAGAGAACTTAAAGGCAGCATCATTTGATGGAAATTTTGGTGTTATTATTGTATCAATAAGGTATGGTCTTATCAAAGTTGATTGTACTACAAAGACAAAAGTCAAAAGTTAAACTCAAGGGAAAATTGGTTTGAGGCTATGAAAAAATAAAATTTGAAGGGCTAAAAAAAATGGGAAAGTGGTTTGAGGCCATGCTGGAAAAGCATAAAAACAGACAACTTTTTCCAATTCATGTACTTATAGGTAATAATAAAAATAATATAGAATTACAGAAGCCAATCCAAAAATTGTAGGATGATGCTTCATCAAATTGAGACAAGAAAAGGGCTTTTTGGACCTTCATTGTGTAGCCTCATACCACCCCCTTCCAATATGAAGCAGGCACTTTGAACTACATTCCAATATAATTCCAGATTTAGAAATAGTTCCAAGTTCTATGATAAAGCTTCTAAACCAAAAAAAAAAAAAAAAAAAAAAAAGGTTCCTGGTGTAATACTAATAATAACACAAAGCATGATCTCAAAAGTCACCATACTGAACATCAAAGATTTCAATTTGATTGACATTAGAAAAATATTTACTTGTGCTGAGGACATTAACACAATCAAAAAAGTTTAAGTGATACCCTGTGGATGGCATACACAACATATTCTGCATGCTCTTCAAGTATCTGACCATCCATTGCAGAATGTTCACCTTCAAGATCCACAGCAAACCAGTCCAGTCTGCAAGAATACTGATTGGGTAATTGAAAGCCAGATGCGTTCATATCTGCACCGCCTTCCTCAGAAGTCAGGAACACTTCTTGATAAAATGAATGTTCAAGTGAACCTCCTTGATATGCCCTATCAGATTCGGCTGCTAACGATCGAACCTGAGATAAGTATGAAGCTGTTCAATTTTCTATGAAGAGAGCTACACAATTCAAGTGGAGGCTCACTATATGATATGACATTATATATAATATTATCTTCGGTGCAAATTGTTTACCAAAATTTTCAAAAATTAATGCATAATGAAATATGTAATGCATATTCTGGATTTGATGGACTGGATCACTTTATTGGCAAAAAAAAATTCTTTATTCCAACAGGACTCATAAAATTCAGATTGTTAACAAATTATCAAAACACAAACAATTACTAAAAATGGCCGATTAAAATCATGAAGCAAACCCACCGTCCAATCTACACTGAAACATAAGCCTCTTCCAATCTACACTGAAATAACTACCTCTGCCTTACTGGCTACCACAATAAGCAAAGCTCCAACTAAGCCATCAACTCAGCCAAATTCACTGGTTTCAACATCTTAAAAATACAAAAGACAAAAAATTGATGCTAAGATTAGACCCTTACTAAAAGTCTTCATCTCAGGTCACTTAAGCCCATTTAACAGAGTACAGAGCTTCCATTCATCAACTCTTCCATATTCGATAGGCAAACGTTCAAAACTCTTAACGCAACAACTATAAATCTTGCATCATACCACAGAGTTCTTGCTTCCAATGCCCTAAATCTATTCCCCAACTCTTCCATTCGTATTCCCTCGAAAGAAAAAATCTCTACATAAGTTCCAACTTGAATTAGTTTTTGCAACACCTTGCGAAACAAATCTCCAGCCAAAAGAAAACTTAAAGAAGCACGGTTTAGCATTGCTAGACTAAATCTAAAAATGCTCCTCTAATTCAAAAAAACACTGATCATATAAAACGAACATTAAATAAACAACAGAATAACAATCAAAAGTAATAAAGAATAAGGAAGACCTTGCCTGTTTGTAGCTACCACCATTCCCGGGAATAAAAAGAACCGGTACACCATTAAGCTGCTTCAAATGCTCCTTAAAATCAATTTTTCTCCAACCTTCATGATACAAATACAACCCATACTTCATCGACGAAGCTCCTTCAGTTGACAAAATCGGAATGTATGTAGGATACATATAGGTCATAACACATCCATTCGAAATCGGCTTTAACAAATGATACAAAGCAGCAATGCCAATCCACAGAGTTAAAATTACAGTAGCTGCAACTCTCAAAGTCGCTCGAAAACCTCTCATCGTGGAATCGACAAACAATATCTACTCCACTGAACTCAGTAAACCACTCTGTCTTTAACCATCACCCTACCAAGAAAGAGTAGCTCATCAACTTAGCAACAACAGGATCAAAAGTCTCTTTACAATAATCGCAAGAAGCAACAAAAGTGTAACCACAAAAAGCAGATTCTTCGTAGATCTGTTTCATAAAGTTAACTTTGACAGTAGATTTATCACTGGCGACAGTACAGAAGAGATGTATCCGAATGAAGGCGAAAAGAAACAACAGAGAGTTAAAGCTGAACAAAAAAAGACCGTTCAAATTTGATTGAGTACCAAATTATACTACAAATGTGAAAGCGTACCTCGTTCGGAAAGCTTGGTTGAGAAGCTTGTAAGAGCGGTGATGAAAGGGAATCAGTGAGATCCGTGAAAGTTTCTGTTCGCTCTTAAAAGAGAGACATTTTAAAGAACGATATATATAATCGGGTATTCGGGCTTGCTACACGGGTTGTTCCTCGATTTTCTTTCCGGTCAAAGGGTGGGTTGAGTTTTTGCCCAAGTATGAGAAGGTGAAAACTTATTAGAATAAAAAATTCAAAAGAAAAAAATACAGACAAAATTTGGGGATTTTTGAAAAAATAGAAAAAGGCTGTTTTTTCTTGTCTAGCCGATTAGGATTCTAATTTCTAGTTTCTAATCAACTCTCCTGGGAGTCAAATGATAAAACCCAAGGATATAACTAACACAAATAGTTAAAGAGTTTATCATCTGATCACATAAGACTATGGGAGAGGTGTAAATGTGTTTATTTAGGATATCCAATATTAAGTTTATTTTTCAAAGAGTCCTCAAAATGTAATTATTTTTAAAATTTGTTCCAATTTACAAATGGTTAAACTAAAATAAAAGTTATAAAATTTAAGTTATGAATTTTGATAGATTAATAGAATATAAACAAAAGTCTCCAACTTCTATGTTAGTATAATATTAAATACTGAGAAAGAAATGCTGGCAATTTAGCAACAAATTCCATAAGATCATAGCTAGTAGCGACATACAAGGCATTTGGTGAGCTTATTATATATGTATTTAGAGTAAACGACATATTCACCCAAGGTTTGACAAAACCTAATTTGGTACCCCAAGTTCCATTTATTCCGGATTCTCACCCTTAAAGTAACGGAAAATGGTTAGATATAACGACTCAGAGGTAAATCGGTCATTTCGCAGAGGAGGCACATATTAGCAAATCATCGCCTCTAACAAAGCTTCGACTCACGTTAGCCAACATCACCGCCGATGTTTTTCGCCCTTTTTCGGTGATTCTTCCACCCAAAATGACCCTTGTTACCACCATTCGAACCCTCATCCTCCCCTCTACAAAACCTTACCCTTCACAACCTCTCATCACTCATCAATCGCCAGCCACGATAGCCGCCACATGCGACTGGTTTTCATCGGTCTCCACCAGCGAATGACCACTAAACGGTTGCTGGGGGCATAGGGGTTTTGTAAATTTGGAGACATTAGTTGCAGTGGTGATGTTCAATTGGATTTTTGTCACCGGAATCCAGCGAAGAACGACGAAAACCTAAGCCTGACGACGCCGGCGATTGGAGGGCCCAATGAGTCGGGAACTAAAGGGTTTTTGGACTACGGACGATGGAGAAGGTGATGGAGGTGACTAGGGGGTTCGCCGCCATCAAAAACAGCCCAGATCCGATGAAAACCGAGACAGTGCGCAATCACTAAGGGTGTAATTGAAGTAATTTCAAAATAGGATGGTTAATTTTATAATTTTAGTAAGTTAGGGGTTAAAAATAATTTATTAATTTAGGGTTAAGGGCATTATGGTAATTGCACCCTCACTACCCTAAAAATTGTTAACAATGTTATTTTAAGGGTGTGAATCTGGAATAAATGAAACTTGGGATACCAACTTGAGATCTCGTCAAACCTTGGGTGGGAATATGTCTTTTACTCATGTATTTATTTAAAACTACATTGATAATGGTAGTGATACTGACAGATATGCAAAAAATTGATATTCATACCAGAAGAGAAGCAAGTAGTAAAAACAAAGAGAGGAGTTGTTTTATTAAGCAGTGACAAGCACACGTTAGGTGCTTGATAGTACAGGAACTATATATCATGTAAGGCTTTCCCCATGTAGCTGGCAGGCTTCAAAATTCTCTGCTCCAACTACAAAAGGCTGTAGTCCACATGAATCGCAAAACCAGTTGTGCCGTGGGGTGGTTGATCAACCTCAGCCAGTGGAGGCCAAGGCTATTGGCTAGGCTCGCGGCTGACCACACAAACCCGAACTCGCTTCCCTCAAATGCTTCCAATATTGGGGCATGTTAGTCAAAAGGCAAGGGCTTGAATGAGTATGAAACCAAGAAACAAAGCCACTTCCATTGCAAAACTCACCTGTTCAGCCTCTTCATGGTTCCTGGGTCCAATCTGAGAGAGGATGTGAACCAAAGTGAGGCTGACGCTTTGTCTAACATATGCCCAGGGATTTCACCTGCCATGAAATGGGAGATTTATACATGGGTGCTCTCAGTTCCAAGGAGATTACAAGAAAATAAAACAATAAAAATTAGTGGTCTCAAAGGAATAAACATACATAGCATAGGGCGATACAAAAGTGCACTAAGAATTCATGCAGATACAAAGTTTATCTTGATGGATAAGCTTTGGATTTACAAAACTTGTCTCACTGCCAAAATCTGTCCACCCTAGGCGGTCGCAACTCACAATATGCATTGCTGGGATCAACTCAATTGTCGTTTTCAATTTATAAAAATAGGGTAGTGTCTGCATTTGATTCAATCCAATTATGGTGTCAACAAGCCTATCGACAACCATTAAAGATAACTCTACTTAATACTTATATAAGCATTTTCTTGTTTTGAATGTAAAAGTTAGAACATGCTAGAAAATGCAGCAAAACAGACATACTAAATGTAAATTAAGGGTGAGAGACAGAGAAGAGTTTTCTTTCAAATAAACTCTATTCACGGTAGATACTGAGGTAGTACACTTTAATACACAGGAAAATTTGTTACTGGCAAGTGGCAACGTCCCAATGTGGCGCACAATACTCAAACAGGATGTAATATCATCTCATAGCTCACTAATTTTCTACTCTGAGAAGTTCTCTATATTACAAAAAGAACAAAATAGGGTGTGGAAAACTATGTAAACTGATGAACAACCCAACAGCTAGATTAGCTGGAGAAAGCTAATGCAAAATATTGCAAATCTCATCGCAATGCAATGGCAACAATTAGAAACTCTCTTTCCAATCGAATAACAAAGCATATATCAGGAATCTCTGGAACTTTTTACGGGTTAAGATCTCCAACTTAATAAGAGAACTCGTGGCCTCGAAATGAGATGTACTTCTTAACCCAGATGGCAATGTCCTCAGCACAGGCATGGGCCTGTGGGCTCTTCAGAAGCATGTCAAGTGTTGCAAATTCATGAACTGCATCCTTGTACTCAAGTACAGGTGCATCAACATTTACCTTCCGCAGCTCCTCTGAGTAAGCGATGGCCCTATCTCTCATCCAGTCATGTTCAGCAACTACTGTCAGTGTTGGGGGCATGAGCTTCAAAGGCGGCCCTCGATCTGGGATTAGGGGGTTAGCAGCTGGGTGGTCCAAGCTGAACTCCTCCTCGGGAAGAAAAAGTTTCCATGCAAGTAGGCACATAGCCTTGTCATAGAAGTAGGAGTTTGCCAACTTTATCTCAGAATGTGTGGGAACACTTCCAATGAAGAAAGGGTACATCAAAACCTGTGCAACGACCTTGACAGGATCCAGAAGCCTTCCTGCCTCGACAGCTTTCCGAGCCACATAGTCAGCAATGTTTGCACCACAGCTCACCCCAAGTAGAATGCATCTGTAAAACATACCACAAATCCACAACAATCAGGTTTGTATTGCTTAAAACTCCATAACCGAACCCTCCAAGTTGCTTGCAAAGAACAAGCTTTCAAAAGAAAATTTCAATTATCACTACATACAACAGTTATTGGTTACCAGGTTCATTTCAGGACAAACAGCTAAAACCCACTCCCAGGTCAATGTAAACAGGAGTGACTTGTTATATTTTGCCAGCTCTACCTTTATCTACAAAAAAAGAATAGGACAAGATGCCAACTGTACTGAACTATAAATAGATCTCAGCTTAACTACAGGCAAGCAAAGATAGAATACCAAGAATAGTAACCAACCAAGAATGCCACGAGTGAAAAGAAAGAGCAAATAATATGAGCTGTTCTGCACCTTGCACAGAAAAAATAGAATAATGAATCCGTGCTTCTACATTAGTGTTCCAGCCTCCATAGATATAATGCACATCAAGAAAATTGGTAGGACTCTTCTTTCATACACCAAACTTTTAGCAATTAATAAAAGATAGCAATCATAACAGTAGAACACATAATAAACTCTAAACGCTCAGCACTACAGTAGTATCAAAACTCCACCAAATGAAATCCAAAGCACACAATTCTAATTCTCAATTCCAATATAATTGCTCTTCAAATACTTAGAATGCATCCTCAATGCATTGGATTCAAAAATTATACAGAGTTACCACTGTGACCACTTCCACCATCCAGCAACCTAGTTTACAGCAAAGTAACATTACTCTAGTCCCTATACACTAAAAGTTCCATACTAAGTCATTATTCATTTTTATGCACAACAGGAGAAAAGGTATCTCTAACAATAAATTAGCCCCATGACCTGCACATACACAAATTCACCACAATCTATGATTTGCAGACAACTGTCGTATAAAAAAACTGTAATATAATTCACCTGTCCACATTTTGTGTCTGACATTCATATGGGTAAAATTCACCAAGATTTGCCTAAACATATGCAGAATTTTGTAGATGCTACACAAATTTATCATGAAACTTTCACATGCTAGCAAGTTAAATAACCATTTTACTTTGTATGGTTTATTTACGAGTAAATAAACACAAAATTATGGTTTGGTACTCAATATCGTATATGTACTTTATAATAAACATGTATAGCCATGGTTATTATGTCTAAATTTTTCAAAGATCCCATGCCTGACATCCCCACCTATGTCGTAATACAATACTCAGATCCAGGTCTTCATACCATACATCACATTAAATGTTGGCTGCACTAACTAAATTGTAGTTCTTCTAACACTCAAGAACGAGCATATTAGTTTTACACTATTGGTCCAAAAATTTTTATTTCTGGCAACTAGTTGAAACCGAGATGTGGGAAGAAGCAGGTCACTGTACCTGAATTTTTATGCTTTTAGGTTTTAAGAGACTATTAAATATGAATGAGCTAAACCAACAGAACTGCAATTACCTTTACAACTAAACCCTGAAATCAGAAAGTAATTCCCAAACTGAAATGCAATGCTTCAAAGTTTTTCGGTCTCCCTAAACGTAAATAATTCCCAAACTAAACAAGTGTTTGTCCTTCTTATGGAGACAAATGATAAACTTCTGGCCAGAAGAATTACCCATGTGATCAATATTTTCAATGTTATAGTAACCATTGCTCTTAAGAACTAAACATGTGGTATATGTGTTCCAACATTGCAATATATAAGACTCCACAGTATTCCGTAAGCATAGAAATAAGCAATCATGAGTAATAATGATAATCAAAACTACAACAAACATCAAAATACCTTGAAGGATCTCCATGAGCAGCCAACCAAGGCTCCACCATAGACGCACCAAACGCATCGACAATATGTTGTCGATTACTGTCCGCCTTCTTCGACTCCACACCGCCACGCACATTCCCCATGCTCTTACTACACTCCGCCAAATTCGCTTGCTTCCCCAACCAATTCAACACTTTGAGCCCATCCTCGAACGCCGCCGGGTACCGATTCTCTGGCGCCAACCTATACCCAACCGCCACAACAATCACATCACACAATCTCGAGATCCGCCGACAGAAAAAATCGTTTGCCACGGAATCATTGCTCCCGCTCACCCACCCTCCCCCGTGAAACTGTAACATTATCGGTAATTTCCTCCGGTTTACATCCACCGGAGCGTACCCTCTATATGCGTCGGATTTCAAATTCAAAGCCTCCACGTCACTACCATGACCACCGTAACTGCTTCTCCGATACTCTTCCTGTCTCGTTGTCGTGGTCCCCACATTCGATGAGCCGTAACTGCTCCTCCGTAAAAGCGACTCGCTCTGTTCCAGATCGGCTTTCCCCACGTTCAAACGGACTTTAGTTTTCGATTGAAGTTTGGAATCGGGTTCGGGTGGATGGAGAGCGGATTCGGGTAGAAAAATCCGGATCGAGAGAGAAGTAAAAGGATCGATATGGATATCCTTTGTTGCAACTCCATCAGAGAATGAAGGATTGGACGCGGCCACAGATTCTTCAGGTCTGGTCGTGACCCCAAACGGGCTGGATTCTTCGGACGGGGTTTGGATCCGGTTTTGTAGTCGGTGTTTCAGGAGGAACTTGAAGAATACACTGTATAGCTTCACAGCTACGCTCGGCATTTCTCTTTTTTTTTTCCCCTCACTCAAAACAAAATTGAAACTCTACACAAATATGCTACGTTGGGTACGGCGGCGTGTCAAGTCGAATCGTGTTTCGTTTTTTTTCTGGTTTTATAAATTCATGATTTCGGAGTTGAACTAAGGGTTTTTATTTTTTCGTTTTCTGAAAACGGATCACATCAGATTTGGGTTTGGGCAATCTGGAGATTACTTGAATTTGATGATGATGTTTCAATGGCGAAAAAATATTGAAAGAAAGAGAGAGAGATGGGCTGAGGTGGTGATTAGTATACATGCAACTTTATGATGTGCTTTTGTATTTGAAATATGTTGTTGTGTGGTAGACGCATCAGATTTTAGGCAACATGTGCTCTTGATGGCTGTACTATTTGGATAAATTTTGTCCTTGTATTCTCAAGGTACAAGTGGAATCAGCGGTGGAGCGAGGGATTGCAAGTGAAATTGATGGTGTGTAATTTTAGCTCTGGGTTTAATAAGGAAACACTACAGGCTTACTCGGGAAATGGTATTGATATTGATATTGAAGCTCAAACCTGTTGTCCGTTGTGTTTTGAGACAATTATTGAATTAAGACAAAGTTTTGTTTATGCGTCTAACCCATTAGCCCTTTGTTTAAAATCTTGTAGCAGTTATTGACCCGAGATTAGGTCACACGATGTATATTTCAAAAAAAAAAAAAAAATTCATTAATAAAATATAATCCAAAGTCTTTCAATTATATGGTTGATAATATATGATATTGGTGTTGATATGTATTAATATTAATATTTGCTCGTGTAATTTGAGTTTCCTATAACAATGATTTTAATATATGAAAGTATTTAATTGAGGTTTAAATTTTTTAATATTATGGTTGGAATTAGGACAGTATTAGGTTTCAAAAGCAAAAAATGTGAATAGATTCATTATAAGATAGTCACGTAAGGATACTTGATTAAATAATGCGTAGATGTCGTTGTAATATTTTGTTATGTTACATCGATTAATACATACGTCTATAATTCAAGAAGATGCAAACGTAATTGGATTTTGTTGAATTTATAGTAATATAGTATGCGTTTGGTTAATATTTTTATCCCTATTCTGGATCCTATTTTTCAAATCGCGTTTGGTAAATATTCTCAAAATATTACCCTATTTTTTAATTCATTTTAACCCCATAAGGTTATTAATTTCACTAAATACCCCCTGAAAAAAAGTTTAAAATTAACAAAAACACCACAACCCAACTTGTCAGATTCCGGCAACCACCGTCGGTGATAGCCGGAATCTGTACACCGCCAAACTTCGACCCAGAAATGGCCGGAAGTTCAACGCTGTGGCCTTTTCGGCAGATCCACAACGGATCTGGCCGGGAAAAGGCCAGATCTGGCCGTCAGCGACGGCCAAAGAAATGGGTCGTTGACGGTCAACGACGGCAAATCTTGGCCGTCGTCGATCGAAAACGACGGCCACATCTTTGGCCGCGTTTGGCCTTTTCCGGCCGTCGGCGGCCAAAACAACCAGATCTGGCCTTTTCCGGCCAGATCTACCATGGATCTAGCCGGAAAAGGCCATAACGAGTGTTACGGCACGATCCGACAAGTCTGTGCCGTAACGAAATTTTCCGGTCGATTCCGGCGGTGGTGGCCGGAATCTGACACTGCAGTGGTGGGGGTGTTTTGTATTTACATGTTAGGGTCTTTAGTTAAATTAGTAAACCTAAGGGCTTTTTTATAAATTTTTAAAATTTACCTCGTAATACTCCCATATCCAATAACCCAATACTACCCTTAAAATCATCCAAAAATAAAACCAACGCACCAATAATTGTCATATTTCTAGGTAACTCCAGTTTTATGATTATTTGATATCTCACACAAACGTATTTTAATACTAGCGTATTTTTTAATTTTATTTGTTTGTATCAATGTTTAATAACCAAACAGAGTGAAACCCAACAAAATTGACTATCCCGAGTTGATGTTTGACCTGTCAGCAAATTGACTGTCAAAAAGTTTAAATAAGAAATACATCCATAAAAATACAATGAAGTGTATAGGTTAAAATTTAACAAACACACTCAAATACAAATTGTCGTCAACTAGTTGCAGCGTGACAACCAAGGACAATCTCGGTCATCCCTTGAGCCTATAAATCTACCAAGATCTGGCTGAAATCAACGATTTCAACGATTCGGCGTCGACAACCTTCCCCATCTTGCTAAAATACTCTCATTAGCTTCTTGATGAAAACCCACTCACCCCATCTTGTTCAACGCCAATCGTTGGTTTTTTTATTTATGGTTGATTAACTCACCAAAATTGAATTATGTTCATCATTGCACTCACCGAACTTTCTCTTAAAAAACCCTAAGTCCTTGCCTTCAATTGTTTTCCGATCATCATCCAAAATTCTAGGGTTTTGGGTAAATAGGAAAATTGTTAACCCGGCCTGGTAAAGGTCCTGAGTCTCAGTTTAACAGGGTGGGCCAGGCTGGGCCTAGTTTTAAAACACTAGTTTGCAATCAAGTTCAAATTCAAACACTACAAATGCATAACCAAAAAAAAAAAAAAAAAAGATCTAGGCCAGCCCAAGATCAACCACAGATTGGTGTTTAATGGATCGAAAATTAATGGGCCGTCAATGACTCAATACAATATACAGTTATCATTAAATGGGCCGGACTGTATTGGACACAAGATGAAATTTATCGCGTCTGATGACTATTTCAGCTAGCTTCTCTAATTTGTGTCGAATTGAATGCCCCAATAAAGCTACGGACACCGGGGATTTTACACCAAAAATGTGTACCGGTCTATGTGTCCTCCTAACTCACATCACTAATTCAGATGCGTAATTAAATAATAAATATTTTTATGGTGAACGACCGTCCATTGAAGATGGACGGCCGTTTACTTACATGGACTCCCGTCCATATTATATGGAGGGAGTCCATTTACTACGGACGGACGTCCCCATCAGTAAAATAGAATAAAAACTTCTTATAAAAATTAAGAACGGCCGTTCATAGGTTGTGAACTGCCGTCTCTTCATCTTGGACGGGCGTCCGTAAATACGGGACGCCCGTCCATTAAGTTTGGACAGGTGTTCATAAGGAATGGACACCCATCCAAACTTAATTTGATTTAAAAAATAAAATAAAAAATTTGGATGCCTGTCCATAAATTGTGGACGGGCGTCCGTCACCTTATTATGATTTTATGGTTTTAAAAATACAAAATAAAACTTGGAAGTGTTGACGGGCGTCCGTAACTAATGGACGCACTTAACGGACGGCCGTCCCTTATGTAAACAGCAAATTCAGTACTTTTTCATCACGGCGATTGGCAGAGTTATTGTTGAAGAATGAATCTTTTTGGTAGAAAATGAAGATTGGCAGCAAGATTGGCTGCAAGTTTGGCATGAAGAGTCTTGAAGGCACGAAGAAATTCCAGAGAAGAAGATGCCGCGGCATTGAAGAAATTACGTCGCCGCATGACCTGCATGACAACCGTTGAAAAACTGTCATTTTCAGTAACTCCAGTCCAGTTGCGGGGAGAGGAGTTACTATTATTCCAGGAAGATAACGGAGTTGGAGGCTCCACCTCTTTAATTGAGACTTGAATGAAATCAAGGCCTCCTTGTCTGTAATGAGGCTTGGAGAAATAAACTGAAAATGACAGTTTTTCAACGGTTGTCATGCATACCCTAATATCTTGTGTTCAATACAGGCCGAACCGTATTGAACACAAGAAGAAATTTATCGCGTCTGGTCTGGTGACTATTTCAGCTAGCTTCTCTGTTTCGTGTCAAACTGAATACCCTAATATCTTAATTCTTAACACAAGTATTAATTGTAAGATTTTATAATTAATTGATTGTAAATGCATTTGTTGCCCTGAAGATTGTGGCCTCACGCTGAGTTCACTTTGGTAGACTTGGATATGGTTATACTTTTCTCCACCATGAATTGACTGACTTCATAGACTTTCGGCTAATTAGGTGCTGATTGTCCAGTCTTGACGCGTTTATAGTTGAAACATATAGGCTAGACTTCACATGGAAGGTTTTAACTAGCCAATCTTGACTCTCAACATTATATACACCCTGATTATTTATTCAAAAACAACACACCCCTTCATGCAGTTTACCTCAAACTTTAATGTCTTCCTCATTTTTCCATACAAAGATTTTTTCCTTTTTGGTTGCCCTTCTACACCTCAAATGCCTCTTGCTTCCAGTGGAGTCAGCTTCTCCAAGCCTCATTACAGACAAGGAGGCCTTGATTTCATTCAAGTCTCAATTAAAAGAGCTGGAGCCTCCAACTCTGTTATCTTCCTGGAGTAATAGTAACTCCTCTCCCTGCAACTGGACTGGAGTTACTTGCAATGAATTTCGCCAGAGAGTCATTGCTCTCAATCTTTCTGGATTCGGACTCGAAGGAACCATTAGCCCCCATATTACCAATCTTTCCTTCCTTGGCTCCCTTCAGCTCCAAAACAACAAGCTTAGAGGAAATCTTCCACCCCAAATAGGTAATCTTTTTCGTTTGACAGTCATGAACCTGAGCTCCAACAGCTTGGAAGGTGAGATACCACTCAACATAAGCAAGTTGACTAAGCTCCAGGTCCTTGACTTGATGTCAAATAAGATTACAGGAACAATTCCTGAAGAACTCAGCCATCTAAGCAAGCTCCAGGTTCTGAACTTGGGGCGAAACAGTCTTTTGGGGGAAATTTCAGCATCCTTATCAAATCTTTCTTCACTTACCTACTTAAATTTAGGCACCAATAGCCTTAGTGGAAGGATACCCGGTGATTTAGGCCGTCTTGGAAACCTGAAAGTTCTTGATCTCACAATAAATAATCTCTTTGGCACTGTTCCTTCATCCATTTACAACATGAGTTCTCTGGTTAATCTGGCTTTAGCTTCAAACCGACTTTGGGGTGAAATTCCTTATGATATTGGGAATAAACTCCCAAATCTTCTGGTCTTCAATTACTGCTTCAATAATTTCACTGGGAAAATTCCAGGGTCTTTGCACAACCTCACTAATATACAAGTTATCCGCATGGCTCACAACCTTCTTGAGGGAACAGTGCCACCAGGTTTGGGAAATCTTCCATTCCTGCAGATGTACAACATCGGGTTCAACAGGATTGTTAGCTCTGGAGATGATGGTCTTGCATTCATCACTTCTTTAGCAAACAGTACTCGTCTCAACTTCCTTGCCGTTGATGGCAATGCTTTTGAAGGTGTAATTTCAGAATCCGTTGGCAATCTTTCCAAGGTGCTTTCAAAATTGTACATGGGAAGTAATCGTATTTATGGTAAAATACCTCTCTCGATTGGCCGTCTCAGGAGCTTGACATTGCTGAATTTGAACAACAATTCGATTTCTGGTGGAGTCCCGGATGTAATAGGCCAATTGAAGGAACTGCAATACCTGGGTTTGGCAGGAAATAAAATTTCTGGCAGTATTCCGAATTCGCTAGGTAATCTCAGAAAGCTAAACCAGATTGATTTATCAGGAAATGAGTTGGTGGGTGGAATACCAACTAGTTTTGAGAACTTCCAGAGTCTACTTTCCCTGGACTTATCCAACAACAGGCTCAATAAAAGCGTACCAAAAGAGATTCTAAATCTTCCCAGTTTGAGCACCATCTTAAATCTGTCCAGGAACTTCTTGGATGGACCATTGCCTCAAGAAGTTGGGGTCCTAGAAAATGTTGTTACCATTGACCTCTCTCACAACCGCCTGTCTGGTAATATCCCCAGTTCATTCGAAGGCTGTAAAAGCTTGGAGGAACTTTTGATGGCCAACAATGAATTCTCAGGCACTATTCCAAATACTCTGGGAGAAGTGAAGGGCCTGGAAGTTCTAGACCTCTCCTCAAACCAACTTTCTGGCTCCATTCCTTCCGACCTTCAGAAACTTGAAGCCCTTCGGTCCTTAAACCTATCATACAATAATCTTGAAGGACAAATTCCCAGCAGTGGAGTTTTTAAAAATATCTCTAATGTCCATTTAGAAGGAAACCAAAAGCTTTGCATGCATTTGGGATGTGCGAATTCTCAGAGTGACGAAAGACTAAACAAAATTTATGTTATCACCGCCGTCATGGCTGCAATGGCAGTTTGTTTTCTGATTGCCTTGGTGATCGTAGTAAGGAGACGTAAAACAAAGGCCACTGGAGCTTCTGAATTATCAAATGGGAAGCCTCAAATGATTTCATATAGTGAGCTCCGTCAAGCAACAGGGAATTTTAACCAGGAAAATGTGATTGGAAGTGGGAGCTTTGGGTCAGTATACAAAGGATATCTTATAGAAGGTATTCATGTTGCCGTCAAGGTTCTTGACATCAAAAGGACTGGATCCTGGAAGAGCTTTCTTGCCGAATGCGAGGCTTTGAAAAATGTAAGGCACCGTAATCTTGTTAAACTGATTACATCATGCTCAAGCCTGGACTTCCGAAACATGGAGTTTCTGGCTCTAGTTTATGAGTTCCTCAGTAATGGAAGCTTAGCAGACTGGACTCAGGGCCAGAGAAAGAATGAAAACGGCAAGGGACTTTCTTTTCTCCAGAGATTGAATATTTCAATCGATGTTGCGAGTGCACTGGACTACCTTCACCATGACTGTGAAATCCCAATTGTACACTGTGATTTGAAACCCGGCAACATTCTTTTGGATGAGGAAATGACTGCGAAAGTAGGAGACTTTGGGCTAGCTCGGTTGCTGCATGAAAGAAGGAGCCATCAATCTTCGATTAGCTCTACAGTTGTTGTAAAGGGTTCCATCGGTTACATACCTCCAGGTTAGTGCCACAACAACTCTTTGCTTCATTTACATATATATGACTTTTCCAAATTTTCTTGGAAAAGCACAATTGTTTCCTTATTTTGGTAACAGTATTATCATGATGCAGAATACGGTTTAGGTGAGAAACCATCAACCTCTGGAGATGTATACAGCTTCGGAGTGATGTTACTGGAACTCTTTACAGGAATGAGCCCAATACAGGAGAGTTTTAGTGGAGAACTAAATCTAGTTAAATGGGTTGAATCAAGTTTTCCAGAGAACGTGATGCAAGTTTTAGACGCTGAGCTGAACAATCTGCAACATCAAGGCCAAAGCATAAACCCAGAAAAACAAAATCATGTTTTGATAACAATAATTGGAGTGGGGCTTTCTTGCACCAAAGATTCACCCGACAGGCGCATTAGCATCAGAGAAGCTCTTCGCAGTTTGAAAACTGCTAAAGACACCTTTATGAAGCATATGAAGTAAGCACCTATTCGGGAATGAGGAAACCAAGTAGTAACCAAGAACAATAAAGTTGCAAATGGCTAAATTCTCTATTCTATGCTGATGTCTTCTTTACTTTCGGTAACCTTAAAGTTTGTTTTTATTTAATTTCTGATTAATCATATATAGACGGTGGGTTTATTTTATTTAACAGAGAAGCCAATTATCTAATTCAATGTAGAAAGTAACTAATGCATTGGTTTCATTTGGAAGGGAAGGTTGTTCAATCAATTTCTTTACCAAATTTACGTTGAGCAACAAATTTCCATGAGCAGAGACAGCAAAGTTTAATGATACATATAACTGGACATTGGAGTGTACTTACAGTAATACAAATTCAAAAAATAAGAAAAGCAGAAATATGTGGAATTCTCACTTTCTTGCCACCTTTCAGAAAATCAAGCAGTGACATCCACGTTTAGCAGCACCCAATTGTTATGCTCTCCCAATCCACAATATACATTCTATGGATAATAGACCAAAATGGGGCTAGCTTTTAACCTGCATCCGACCAAAAGCTAGGGAAGTCTGGGCCTTCCACTTCCAGAAATCACCATATCCATCCATGGTCTGCATAACAACTGCAAAACCAAAAACTCCAGCAACTGCCAATCACATTGTTAACTACTTAGCCGGATCGTGGGCGTGTAGCTATTTTTGGGGAGATGAGCACAGGTTCATTACTTGAAGCTTTCATTGCAGCAATTTCTTCCAAGCGTTTCCATGTGGCTTCACGTTTCGATTTCATCTCTTCCTCTTGTGCTTCATCTTCCTGAAATTTGAGCAAGCACTCCTCAAAGAGCTCTGGGTCAATATCAGAGAAGATTTTGCGGACATTTATCGTCAAGCTCTGTACAGCCTGATTCCAGTGCTTTCTTGCATTTCCCTCCAAGGCAGGGAAGATTATTGGCAGTATAATTTTGCGATTCTGTTTGATCAGGTTCTCAATGTGATCATTGTTCCATAAGAACAAAGCTCGCTCAGCCACCTGAAAAAAAAAAAAAAAATTTTAATTGAGACTTGAATGAAATCAAGGCCTCCTTGTCTGTAATGAGGCTTGGAGAAATAAACTGAAAATGACAGTTTTTCAACGGTTGTCATGCATACCCTAATATCTTGTGTTCAATACAGGCCGAACAGTATTGAACACAAGAAGAAATTTATCGCGTCTGGTCTGGTGACTATTTCAGCTAGCTTCTCTGTTTCGTGTCAAACTGAATACCCTAATATCTTAATTCTTAACACAAGTATTAATTGTAAGATTTTATAATTAATTGATTGTAAATGCATTTGTTGCCCTGAAGATTGTGGCCTCACGCTGAGTTCACTTTGGTAGACTTGGATATGGTTATACTTTTCTCCACCATGAATTGACTGACTTCATAGACTTTCGGCTAATTAGGTGCTGATTGTCCAGTCTTGACGCGTTTATAGTTGAAACATATAGGCTAGACTTCACATGGAAGGTTTTAACTAGCCAATCTTGACTCTCAACATTATATACACCCTGATTATTTATTCAAAAACAACACACCCCTTCATGCAGTTTACCTCAAACTTTAATGTCTTCCTCATTTTTCCATACAAAGATTTTTTCCTTTTTGGTTGCCCTTCTACACCTCAAATGCCTCTTGCTTCCAGTGGAGTCAGCTTCTCCAAGCCTCATTACAGACAAGGAGGCCTTGATTTCATTCAAGTCTCAATTAAAAGAGCTGGAGCCTCCAACTCTGTTATCTTCCTGGAGTAATAGTAACTCCTCTCCCTGCAACTGGACTGGAGTTACTTGCAATGAATTTCGCCAGAGAGTCATTGCTCTCAATCTTTCTGGATTCGGACTCGAAGGAACCATTAGCCCCCATATTACCAATCTTTCCTTCCTTGGCTCCCTTCAGCTCCAAAACAACAAGCTTAGAGGAAATCTTCCACCCCAAATAGGTAATCTTTTTCGTTTGACAGTCATGAACCTGAGCTCCAACAGCTTGGAAGGTGAGATACCACTCAACATAAGCAAGTTGACTAAGCTCCAGGTCCTTGACTTGATGTCAAATAAGATTACAGGAACAATTCCTGAAGAACTCAGCCATCTAAGCAAGCTCCAGGTTCTGAACTTGGGGCGAAACAGTCTTTTGGGGGAAATTTCAGCATCCTTATCAAATCTTTCTTCACTTACCTACTTAAATTTAGGCACCAATAGCCTTAGTGGAAGGATACCCGGTGATTTAGGCCGTCTTGGAAACCTGAAAGTTCTTGATCTCACAATAAATAATCTCTTTGGCACTGTTCCTTCATCCATTTACAACATGAGTTCTCTGGTTAATCTGGCTTTAGCTTCAAACCGACTTTGGGGTGAAATTCCTTATGATATTGGGAATAAACTCCCAAATCTTCTGGTCTTCAATTACTGCTTCAATAATTTCACTGGGAAAATTCCAGGGTCTTTGCACAACCTCACTAATATACAAGTTATCCGCATGGCTCACAACCTTCTTGAGGGAACAGTGCCACCAGGTTTGGGAAATCTTCCATTCCTGCAGATGTACAACATCGGGTTCAACAGGATTGTTAGCTCTGGAGATGATGGTCTTGCATTCATCACTTCTTTAGCAAACAGTACTCGTCTCAACTTCCTTGCCGTTGATGGCAATGCTTTTGAAGGTGTAATTTCAGAATCCGTTGGCAATCTTTCCAAGGTGCTTTCAAAATTGTACATGGGAAGTAATCGTATTTATGGTAAAATACCTCTCTCGATTGGCCGTCTCAGGAGCTTGACATTGCTGAATTTGAACAACAATTCGATTTCTGGTGGAGTCCCGGATGTAATAGGCCAATTGAAGGAACTGCAATACCTGGGTTTGGCAGGAAATAAAATTTCTGGCAGTATTCCGAATTCGCTAGGTAATCTCAGAAAGCTAAACCAGATTGATTTATCAGGAAATGAGTTGGTGGGTGGAATACCAACTAGTTTTGAGAACTTCCAGAGTCTACTTTCCCTGGACTTATCCAACAACAGGCTCAATAAAAGCGTACCAAAAGAGATTCTAAATCTTCCCAGTTTGAGCACCATCTTAAATCTGTCCAGGAACTTCTTGGATGGACCATTGCCTCAAGAAGTTGGGGTCCTAGAAAATGTTGTTACCATTGACCTCTCTCACAACCGCCTGTCTGGTAATATCCCCAGTTCATTCGAAGGCTGTAAAAGCTTGGAGGAACTTTTGATGGCCAACAATGAATTCTCAGGCACTATTCCAAATACTCTGGGAGAAGTGAAGGGCCTGGAAGTTCTAGACCTCTCCTCAAACCAACTTTCTGGCTCCATTCCTTCCGACCTTCAGAAACTTGAAGCCCTTCGGTCCTTAAACCTATCATACAATAATCTTGAAGGACAAATTCCCAGCAGTGGAGTTTTTAAAAATATCTCTAATGTCCATTTAGAAGGAAACCAAAAGCTTTGCATGCATTTGGGATGTGCGAATTCTCAGAGTGACGAAAGACTAAACAAAATTTATGTTATCACCGCCGTCATGGCTGCAATGGCAGTTTGTTTTCTGATTGCCTTGGTGATCGTAGTAAGGAGACGTAAAACAAAGGCCACTGGAGCTTCTGAATTATCAAATGGGAAGCCTCAAATGATTTCATATAGTGAGCTCCGTCAAGCAACAGGGAATTTTAACCAGGAAAATGTGATTGGAAGTGGGAGCTTTGGGTCAGTATACAAAGGATATCTTATAGAAGGTATTCATGTTGCCGTCAAGGTTCTTGACATCAAAAGGACTGGATCCTGGAAGAGCTTTCTTGCCGAATGCGAGGCTTTGAAAAATGTAAGGCACCGTAATCTTGTTAAACTGATTACATCATGCTCAAGCCTGGACTTCCGAAACATGGAGTTTCTGGCTCTAGTTTATGAGTTCCTCAGTAATGGAAGCTTAGCAGACTGGACTCAGGGCCAGAGAAAGAATGAAAACGGCAAGGGACTTTCTTTTCTCCAGAGATTGAATATTTCAATCGATGTTGCGAGTGCACTGGACTACCTTCACCATGACTGTGAAATCCCAATTGTACACTGTGATTTGAAACCCGGCAACATTCTTTTGGATGAGGAAATGACTGCGAAAGTAGGAGACTTTGGGCTAGCTCGGTTGCTGCATGAAAGAAGGAGCCATCAATCTTCGATTAGCTCTACAGTTGTTGTAAAGGGTTCCATCGGTTACATACCTCCAGGTTAGTGCCACAACAACTCTTTGCTTCATTTACATATATATGACTTTTCCAAATTTTCTTGGAAAAGCACAATTGTTTCCTTATTTTGGTAACAGTATTATCATGATGCAGAATACGGTTTAGGTGAGAAACCATCAACCTCTGGAGATGTATACAGCTTCGGAGTGATGTTACTGGAACTCTTTACAGGAATGAGCCCAATACAGGAGAGTTTTAGTGGAGAACTAAATCTAGTTAAATGGGTTGAATCAAGTTTTCCAGAGAACGTGATGCAAGTTTTAGACGCTGAGCTGAACAATCTGCAACATCAAGGCCAAAGCATAAACCCAGAAAAACAAAATCATGTTTTGATAACAATAATTGGAGTGGGGCTTTCTTGCACCAAAGATTCACCCGACAGGCGCATTAGCATCAGAGAAGCTCTTCGCAGTTTGAAAACTGCTAAAGACACCTTTATGAAGCATATGAAGTAAGCACCTATTCGGGAATGAGGAAACCAAGTAGTAACCAAGAACAATAAAGTTGCAAATGGCTAAATTCTCTATTCTATGCTGATGTCTTCTTTACTTTCGGTAACCTTAAAGTTTGTTTTTATTTAATTTCTGATTAATCATATATAGACGGTGGGTTTATTTTATTTAACAGAGAAGCCAATTATCTAATTCAATGTAGAAAGTAACTAATGCATTGGTTTCATTTGGAAGGGAAGGTTGTTCAATCAATTTCTTTACCAAATTTACGTTGAGCAACAAATTTCCATGAGCAGAGACAGCAAAGTTTAATGATACATATAACTGGACATTGGAGTGTACTTACAGTAATACAAATTCAAAAAATAAGAAAAGCAGAAATATGTGGAATTCTCACTTTCTTGCCACCTTTCAGAAAATCAAGCAGTGACATCCACGTTTAGCAGCACCCAATTGTTATGCTCTCCCAATCCACAATATACATTCTATGGATAATAGACCAAAATGGGGCTAGCTTTTAACCTGCATCCGACCAAAAGCTAGGGAAGTCTGGGCCTTCCACTTCCAGAAATCACCATATCCATCCATGGTCTGCATAACAACTGCAAAACCAAAAACTCCAGCAACTGCCAATCACATTGTTAACTACTTAGCCGGATCGTGGGCGTGTAGCTATTTTTGGGGAGATGAGCACAGGTTCATTACTTGAAGCTTTCATTGCAGCAATTTCTTCCAAGCGTTTCCATGTGGCTTCACGTTTCGATTTCATCTCTTCCTCTTGTGCTTCATCTTCCTGAAATTTGAGCAAGCACTCCTCAAAGAGCTCTGGGTCAATATCAGAGAAGATTTTGCGGACATTTATCGTCAAGCTCTGTACAGCCTGATTCCAGTGCTTTCTTGCATTTCCCTCCAAGGCAGGGAAGATTATTGGCAGTATAATTTTGCGATTCTGTTTGATCAGGTTCTCAATGTGATCATTGTTCCATAAGAACAAAGCTCGCTCAGCCACCTGAAAAAAAAAAAAAAAAAAAAAAAAAAAATTAGGCCACAGCATGCACAAGCAGACAAAGCAATTTGATTCAATACAAACTATAAGGCTGCCATTAACTTTTGCAATTTTCAGATTAGAATAATGCCAAATCATTATTCCAATGTTAGCATGTTTATTCTTGCATCTGTAAAACAGTTGAATTCTGAGAAGGATACAGAATTTGATCTATAGACTTCAGCAAACAAAAAACAAAATCCAAATGCAGAGCTGTAATGCCAGGGTGATCAGAAAAGCTAAAGAACAAGCCCAAGATAAAAATTGGCTATCCAGGCAGCAAGTTGATCTTGCAACAAATGAAAATATATATCAAAGAGGGAAATGAATGTTATTAAAAAAAAAAAAGCTTTTATCATCTTGAACTGACATTTAGGAGCTTGATCTTTAGGCATTATACGGCATCAATATTTGGACTCTAACCGCTATACTATATCCTATATACTTCTGTACAAGTATCACAGCAAGAAAGTTGAAACCTAACAGAAAAATAGAAGAATTTCCTTATAAGGAACACATTCTTAATCTATCCAAGAAGATTTCTATTTGCCTTTCAGATTCCAATGCTTATTGGACACCAAAAGCCAACAAATGAACACCATTGACATTTACAGAATAAAAATTTTCTCCTTTCATTCTGTGTACTTTCTAGTAATTTTTGACAATAAATTAAAAAAAAAAATAATAATAATAATAATACCACCACCATGCCTCACTGAGGGTAAGGAGTACAACCCACCAGGACCAACTACCACAGCAAAAACCTGGCACTAGCTTACTGCAGTAGCCACAACATTANTTCTATTTGCCTTTCAGATTCCAATGCTTATTGGACACCAAAAGCCAACAAATGAACACCATTGACATTTACAGAATAAAAATTTTCTCCTTTCATTCTGTGTACTTTCTAGTAATTTTTGACAATAAATTAAAAAAAAAAATAATAATAATAATAATACCACCACCATGCCTCACTGAGGGTAAGGAGTACAACCCACCAGGACCAACTACCACAGCAAAAACCTGGCACTAGCTTACTGCAGTAGCCACAACAATACATTTGCCAAATCTACCTCAGACCTGGTGCTCCTCAAATTTCTTTTTAAATATTTTTACACATTTTTTAAAATATAAACACAATCATAGCCGATTCATGCCCCAAAATTGTCCACTGTATTCATTAATTCAAAGTATTATTTTTCAACCATGGACAATATCTCTAATAACCGATTCATGATTCAGTTTTCTCTCTCATCTTAAATTTTTTAAATTGCTTTGCCATTTCGTTCCATTAAGAATTGTTTGAGAGTTAACTTTGCTGGCATCACAAAGGGGAAAAACCAAATGTAGCAGCACCAACCACAGCCCCGTTACCACTACCATCAACCACCTCTCATCATCACAGCCATTGCTACTGTCACCCATCACCTAGATCATAACACCATTATAGCCAATTATCTTCAATTTTAAGTCCACAATGACCATTGCCAGACATTAAACTGCAACCTCCCATCTCCACACATCTTATTCTACAAAACCAGTGCCATACTCTAACGCCTAAAAGTACAAAAACAAAAACCTAAATAAAGAGGGTGAAATCATGTCAGAGACGTACCTGGTTTTAAAAGTCAAAATTAAGAGACAAGTAGATGGTTTTATCATACCAACAGCTTAAAAATAAATACAGTAATCAGACACATAAAGCAAGAAATCCAGAATACAGTCTAACTCACAGCTCATTAGAATCCTCTTGGGACTAAAAAGTCATTATATGCATTCTAACTTTAGATTGCAGTAGCATAGCTAATTCTAGGGGTCATAGTAATTTCATGAGGGTCATGGAAATTCCAATAATTTTCATAATCTACATTATTCTGATTTCATCCTCATCAAAATTCTAAAGTATGTTGTGATAATTGTAAACAAATAATTACCCATGCCTTTTCAATTTCAAATTTCACTCATTGAAAACTTAACAAATTTTTTTATCCAAGTAGGTCCATTATATACCACCTGAACACATAATTAACTCTTTTAATAATGTTAGCAATCCCCGTCTCTTAAAATAGAATATTTACACAGTAAACACTCTTATAATAGAAACTCAATATTTGCAAAGCATGTCCCCAATGATTAATCATGAAATATTAAGAAACCTAAGATTTTCCAAGAAAATTATACTATAAACCAAAACCATTGGAAACATCTTCTAATTTTTTTTAAATAATAAAAGAAGAAGAAGAAGAAGAAGAAGAAGAAAATTTGAAAACTTAGTTCTGGGGCCTAATTGACAGTAAGCAGATGCATGCCACATGTTCCAAACTTGACAGTAATAGCATCTTGACTGGGTGATCCCAAGTCCACACAGTTTCTATTAGAGGGCTTATGGTGGATATTCCAACATCCAAACGGACATAAGACAACTAAAACAGGAGAAAGGCTTCTCAAATTTCATGAAACCGGAAAATATAGCCAAATATTAGATTGCAAATAATAGATGCTTTCCTTCGCTTCGAAACAAAACCAAATAGAAGTAGCACCAGTTTCTATTAGAGACGACTTATATCCTTGAAATCTGGGAAAAAATAATATGCAATGTATCACTCAAAATCTGAACAGTAATCATCAGAATACATAAATTGAAGCCAGTTAACGATTTTCTTGATAGAATTTGTAACAAATGGCTTTAGACAGAAGCTACAAACCATTTTGATCCCAGCTGTAACTATAACAACCTGTTTATCTTGCCAAGGTTGTGCTTTTCACAGCCATAAGCAGTTTCCATTCTAGCTTTTAATACTAGTCATTAACACCTGATTGTCTATTTTATTATTTTATGGCTATTTACAGCTTTGNGTCTCTTAAAATAGAATATTTACACAGTAAACACTCTTATAATAGAAACTCAATATTTGCAAAGCATGTCCCCAATGATTAATCATGAAATATTAAGAAACCTAAGATTTTCCAAGAAAATTATACTATAAACCAAAACCATTGGAAACATCTTCTAATTTTTTTTAAATAATAAAAGAAGAAGAAGAAGAAGAAGAAGAAGAAAATTTGAAAACTTAGTTCTGGGGCCTAATTGACAGTAAGCAGATGCATGCCACATGTTCCAAACTTGACAGTAATAGCATCTTGACTAGGTGATCCCAAGTCCACACAGTTTCTATTAGAGGGCTAATGGTGGATATTCCAACATCCAGATGGACATAAGACAACTAAAACAGGAGAAAGGCTTCTCAAATTTCATGAAACTGGAAAATATAGCCAAATATTAGATTGCAAATAATAGATGCTTTCCTTCACTTCGAAACAAAACCAAATAGAAGTAGCACCAGTTTCTATTAGAGAGGACTTATATCCTTGAAATCTGGGAAAAAATAATATGCAATGTATCACTCAAAATCTGAACAGTAATCATCAGAATACATAAATTGAAGCCAGTTAACGATTTTCTTGATAGAATTTGTAACAAATGGCTTTAGACAGAAGCTACAAACCATTTTGATCCCAGCTGTAACTATAACAACCTGTTTATCTTGCCAAGGTTGTGCTTTTCACAGCCATAAGCAGTTTCCATTCTAGCTTTTAATACTAGTCATTAACACCTGATTGTCTATTTTATTATTTTATGGCTATTTACAGCTATGCACCTTTATTATTATTATTATTTTTTTGGAATGAGCATCTTTTCACCATTGAATACTAAGAAATCTCAGATTGATATAATTCTAGTCATGCAAATCCAACTAACTTAGTCCGCTTGTCAGTACACCTGTTCACTTTCTAAAGCTGGCCAGTTAAAGTGTTAGGATCCCACATTGAAAGGGAAAAGGGTGGGCATGTGGGTTATAAAAGCTTGGGCACCCTCCCTTGGCAAACCGGTTTTCCAAGGAGAGTTCTACCCAAGCCCATGAAAGACCCATGGCCCAGTCCAAATTATTAAGTTATAGGAGTGGGTTCCTATCATAAAGCTTATGAGCAATTCTGTAAGGCCATTGTCTTATGTCATTATCATTTCAATGCCAAAGTTCAACATGAACTTTCATTTGGCAGACTCCAGTTAGCCTTCTTTGGAGTTGACGTTCCAGAATATAGTCCTAAAAGATACAGAATAATATTCAACAACCAGTCTTATGTGCTCAAAATTGGTCCAGGATTAGAATCACAATACATCATACTTGATGATGTTAGTGCCCCTTAGGTATATGTGATCACAGGTACAAGTCCAGATCTTTAGGTGTTGCATACTAATGATTATTAATTTCGTCAACCTTTGTATTGAAATATAAAATTCAAATATTCAGTTAAACATATATTAGACCACATTGACCAAAAGGAATAACTTTTATCATGCGGAGAAGGTGGAAGGAAGAAAACCGTACCAAATGAATTTTCAGTTACAACAATATAAATAAAGCCACAGAATTTATCTTTTGTTGTTTTAGTTTAAAAAAAATAAAGCTTTTTCTTTTCCTTTTTCCTACAGCTGATATAGAAAACAAAAGTAAAGAAAATTTTCAAGTACAGAACTGGTGAAGCCAATGGACTACCAACCTGAAAATGTGAACTGCTCAAGCAACGGCCAATCTGGCGGAATAAGGGTACCATACAGCGCTGAAACTCTGCAGGTTGTGTTGCTTCTAACACTTCCTCCAGTTCACCCAAGAACATGACCTCCTTAGTACTGTTTGTAATTGGCCAATATTTTAGCAAACCTCGTATAACAGTGTCAGCAAGCTTACAGTCTTTCTCCACAAACTGTGTAATGCAGTAAGATAGCTGCTGATGATACATGGCTACACATTTTGGTTTATGAAGTGGAATTAGTGCTCGAACAAGAAAGAGTTTGTGCTCCTCTTTCAACGGCAGAGCAAACCCATTAATTATACTTCCCAAAATTTCTAACAATTCTGCAATCCCATTATGCTTCTCGGTTTCAAAAATGAAACGATAAAAGATGTGGTTGATTGCTTTCCTAATGAAGGGACGATGGACCATGAATTTCCCATAGATTCGGTGCAAAACCGTTTTCAAATACTCCCTCTCTCTTGGATCCTCTGAATCAAAAAGGTCTAACAATCTGAGAACAAAAGAGTGATCAACGTACCTCTTAGCCAATTTTGCATCTGTCTCTGGTGATGCCACAAACCTCAAAAGAAATTCATACACTACTTGCAAATGAGGCCATCCAGGGTCCATTGAGGGCTCTTCCTCTTCCAAATCAAAGGCTTCTAAAACTTTATTTTCACGGGGTGGAGAAGTGAGGGTTCTAAACAAATTTAGGGACACCATCTTTACCATTTCCTGCATGACAGTTTCTGGAAATTTTCCATTTGCAGAAGAAACATAATCCACAAGCTCTACTAGTGTTTGTCGCTTGATGTCCTTTTCTTTGAGATTCTTTGTTGGGTCAGTGAAGTCAAAGATAACACAACATAGGCTCAGTTTCTTGATAAACAAGTTCTGCTTCTCAGAGCTATGAACATCCTTAAAACTAGGCAAAGCTTCATAAGAAGAAACCAAGGAATTCCCATTAAGCTTTGAATTTACAACCTGGGCAAACTTATTCCCATGATTGGCCCCTACATTAGCGTTGAAATTGTTCCCAGGATGAGATGCACTGTTCTGATTGCCATAGCGATTACCGGAATCACTGTTTCTTGAACTGGTTGAAACATTTGAAGATGAGGTAGAGGTAGCCCCACCTTCACGACTGTCAGACGATTTAGATGGCTTCCTAGGGAACCTATTAAGTATCTGTTTGATCATAACTCAAGCTGTACAATGGTATCAATATCTCATGCACTTGAGAATCCAATACCTAATTGTTCCTCCTTCAAAGCCAAAACAGCATGAATGATAGTCAAAGGGCACAATTCACTCTAACTGGGAAAACCAGGATGCATCAATCAATATGGAGTCATAATTCGAAATCCACCCCTAAAGCTTCTAACCTTCTTCATTATCGTAAAATGGTCATCTTTACTTAATTCAATAAATGTTCCACTCTGACTCAAGATGATAAAGAAAATCCCTCGCTTATCTGAACAGAAACATCAAACCCACTTCATACAATGAAAAACAAAAAGAAAAACACTGGAATTTGAAACCAATTAACAGAAAGATAAAAAGTCCCTGGTCAGCCATTCTCATGTCAAAAAACAAAACCCACCAACGTATTGACTTAATTTAAGAAACCCAGATGCACAAAACAATTGAGAATCAAGAAGTATCCAACAACCTCCCTGATTTTGAAAATAAAACTAAAACTCCCCAAACTTTGACTTAATAAAAGTGAAAAAGGTACAGTGAATATTCACCTCTCTCCCTTGATGTGTTTCTCCAAGATTGGCAAACTATTCAGCTGGATCAAAAAGTAACAAGATCTGAGTATGATCTAGAAACTCCACATAACATTCTCCATCAACAATACTTCAACCTACACAACAACAACATGATGCAAACACAAAAAGTAAAAGAACAACATTAGACTAACAAGTACAAAACAAGCAAAATCAAATCGCAAAGAAACTAAACAGAATGATTAAAGAGTATTATCTACACTTACAACGACAGTTGAGCTACTCATTTCTCTCTCACAGAAAAAGAGAGATTGAGATTCAGTTCAAACAATGATGGGATTAAACAACAAATAAAAATCAAATCTTTCGTTCCTGTTGTTGTTGTGGTGGTGGTGGTGTTTTGTTAGCCAATTTTACTGTTGTTAATTTGTTGCTTTTTCATTTTCTTTCTTTCTGAGTTTCTTTTCTATTCTCAACTTTCCCTGGAATTTTTTTTTTTTTTTCCTCTTTTCTTTTTCACTTTTAGATTTTCTTCAGATAGAGATGACACCATTTTGACCAAAATAGACTTCCTGGCTACGGTCATCCACGGAAAAGCGAAAGGTTAAAATGGAGATTTCGAACCGGCTGATCGGAATTGCCAAATACACGCGCCATTCGACCGTGAGTGGGATTTGTTCAATCATAGTAAAGTATGTCCGGTTCCAGACATATTTAATTTAATCACATAATTAAAATATTAAGTATTTTATTATCAATATTTTTTATATTAACACAGAGTCACAGACTTCCACAGTAGGATTTAAACATCGTTTAAATCGACAATCTTAGAATTAATTAAACATTTAATTTTTTTTAAATTATTAAAATTCATTCCAAATCAGTTTGTTCAAATTTTTAACATTAGGAAATGTTAATGTTTATTTAGATTATATTAATAATAATATAATCTTAAAATTTTAAAATTTTCTGAATAAAAAATCCCACGTACTCTGACGCGCGTGTTTCTCTTTGATGTTAGCAATTCTTTGAATTATATAACACAAAAAGACGCATCTTTATAAGCTGTAAAAGAATATAATAAGATCATTACAACCTTGAATTCTAATATTATTTGATTACAAGTTGGGTAAATCTCCATTGAAGCTAACACACTTTTCCTCTAACGTGACTTTCAAATTCAATAGCAGAAATTAAAAAAAAAAAAAAAAAAAGGTTTAATCCCATTGGATGTTTTTCATTTTACAACTTGAATTTCTTTTTTAATAAAATGGTACCTCTCTTCTCAATTTATTTATTATTTTACTAGGTTTACAATACGTAATCGATTATCAATTGTCACACACTGAGACGTAAGGTAAATTAATCACTACTGGATGGTCTGATGGTAAAATAGTAAAATAGCAAAATGATGTTTCATAAGCTTCAGAGTTTGAGTCTCCCTAAACCTTAATAGGGGTGACAATTGGAACTCTTACCCGACTGATAGTTTTAAGGTCTCGAAAAATTAATTGAAATACGTGTGAGCTGGTTTAAATACCCCTGATGATAAATAAAAAAAAAAAAAGAGGCTGCAAAAGTTTATTTGACCCTTTCAAAGATTTGCACCCATATAAACAAATTGATCTTCCATTTTCATACAATATTGTTCTGTTTCCACCCTCCAATTTGTATGTATTTATTATATAAATTGTTGTTGCTTATAAGAACTGTTCAAATTAGGCGGACAAATAAATTGGTTGACCACCATATATCCGAGCATTTTTGGCGCCATACTTCCGCGTTACATATTATAAACTAATATTCATAATTTATAACTTATTATAAAATCTATAAATATAGTCAAGAGACCCGTGGCATGTGAAAGCAACATTATCGGGATAAAAATTTTGTCGTATGATTTAGAAATGTGAAAGGAATATTAATTTATTTCTGTTCAAAACAGGGCCGGTAAAATAAGACAGTCTTTCTTTTTCCTTGTCTTTTAATTTTAAGGTCAGAAGAAAGCACAAGTTGAATCCAAAACAAATTTGGTGGAGGATCACATCAAGATAACTCATCCCACATCGAGTGTTTTTTGAAAATGAATGACAGTCCAATCCTTTGAGACCTTAGCCCAGAAAAGGTCAATGTCAATGTGTCGTTTCCAAAAAAAACGTGTCAAGGGTGTAATTAAAGATAGAAACCCAGTCAACAAGCTTCTTTCAAAAGACGGATTCCCCTCTACTGCTTTAACTAAATTGGGCACAATTTAACTCTATTCATTTGTTCCAGGAACCACAGTACTACTTTGAAAAAGTCATAAAATCAATGAAACCAACCACTACGTCATAAAGTTACGGTCCAAAGCTTATACGCAAGCCTCAGATGATCACAAATTCACAATCACTCAACAAACAATAATACCGTCTTGAGAAAGTTATGAACTAATTTCAGCAGCAACAACAACTGCACACTTAAATCAATTGAAAAACCATAAAAAGCACACTCCTATTTAAAGAATACAAATAAATAAATAATAAAAAATCCGAAGATTCAGATAGCAATTTCTTCCATTCCTGATCTGTCAGCATAATACACTATCAAAATACACATCTATCAGATACATTAAAATCAGTCCTTCAAAAATAATCTTGAGAAATTCAGTATTGACGCCTAAAATCCATTGGGCTGAAAATCACACTAGCAAGCAAAGCAATTCTCTTCTAATCATGAATTTCTGGTCGTACCAATCTGATTGGGCTATAAATATTGGCCTCAAAGATCCAGATCCGACTTGGCATATAAAACTTCATCTTGGGTTTTCAGGTATGTTACAAGCATGTACAACAGCAGTGCCAAGAAGGTTCATATTCTCCCTTGCCCCAGACAACAAAATATCAATCGTGCTGAACCGGAGAGCAATAAGGTACTCAAGACCAAGAAGGAATACATACAAGCATCGGATCATGCAAAAAGAAATTAGTGGAGAGTGGAGAATATCCCAACCAATATATGAAAACAATACCACCAAAATGATCTAGTCATATTCTCATGACTATGAGAGCAGGCATTGCCTAGACTTTCGTTCTAATGGTCCATCAAGGCGGTTTCAGTTTCCGAAAGTGGAGCTGCAAAGAATTAAACAAGCTTTCAAACCCCAAAACATTTTAAGAATAAATAAATTTGATGACTAGACACGAAAATTGCCAGCATCAGCTTACGAATTTGCCTCGCCACGTGATTGTATTGGATAAATATATGCAAAAGTAACTTCATTTAATAAAATGTGATGAACTTATTATAGGCAAAATAGATTAACCCCATGGAAGCCTCCTACTACAGGAAGAGTTTGTTGTCAAGACAAACATACCAAGTAAGTCTTCATAAGTATCAGCCAGCAGGGATGTTTCCATTAGTAATGGTGGTGAGAAGACCTGATCCTGAGCTTCATCAATGTCATAGAATGACCTCCGTGTCTCAGAAATTGCACCATTTGAACCAGTGGCTGAGAGAAAACCATTTACCTTATCAAAATCACGAAGTGAATCCAATTCACTCAACATGTCTGGTATATCATCATACTTGCTCCCAACATGACCATCAGGGGCACAATTATTGAGCAAGGAAGTGTCTGTCTGAGATGTGAATAATCTCTTACTCCTTACTGGTGATGCTTTGTTTTCTGGGCCAAGGCGAGAAAACCCAGCTGCTGAAAGAGGCACAAAGAAGTGTTCAGAGCTTTCATCAGAGTGACTGTCTCGTGATGATTCTGAATTGCTGGATCGCACTGATAGAGCTGCTTCTCTTACAGATCTCTTTAAGTATTGAACATAAGAAATATCACTGTCTGCAACCAATATACTAAGAATCAAGATCTCGACATAAAGATGTTCAAAGACCAAATTTTCTATGCAAATCACAGAATAAAATTCCTTCAGCTAGCCGATTATATATGCAAAATGGCATGAAACAGAAATGGCAAACCTTGTGGTGGGTTATCCAAGCGATTATTTGACAGAGGCTGGTCCAGGGAATTTCTTTCAGAAAAACTTTCCATTTGGTTGGTTTGAGGGACTAAAGTGTGACGCTTTTGAACATTTCCACCTTTTCCAGAAGAATTTGGGGTCAAAGTAAATAGCTGTGGGAGCTTTAAAGTGGGTGGACTAGCCAAAACCTTGTCAAGCTGGACACTCGACATTTTTGAAGTCACCTCAGCAATATCATCAGAGCTATTTTCCTGTATGATAAACAGAAATAAGCCTTCACTTCATTATTCAATGTTTGAAAGTAGGTATTACGTACAAACATTTGGTACAAAAATAAGACTGCTTGAATAATTACCAATGTCCTCCCACTGCTCTGGGCTTGTATGGGTGAAGTGGCTCGACCACGATGTTTAGCCATTGGAGGCAGAGTAGAGGAAATACCATTTACTTTCTCTGTACAATCTGATATTGATTTTTGTATTGCTGGAGCAACTTCCTTCAGTTGATTAATGAGCACCTGCACATTATGACAAATATCTTCAACATGGCATCTGATACTACATAAAATGCATATAATAAGTCACCAACGCATTATGGAAGAGCTGAAAGTGCTCATGCTTGAAGTTGACATGGGAGTACATCAGCCTAGCTGAAAGCTACTGACTTGATCTATAAAGATTATTTACTTACCTGAAAGCTGGCCAAGTGTTGCTGATGTTCAGTAAGCGTTGAGGCTAAAGACTCAGCATGGCCACTTGTACAGCCCTCTTGTGCACTTCGTAAAATATCTGGACCGTTTCCATCATTAGCTTTTGCCTATGGAAAAGTTATTACATAGCATTTCAGCATGTCAGAAAATGTGTGAGATCATTAATTCTGTAATAATTTGATTTGAAATTTTCTAATTTTCTGTTTCGTTATAAACACCACATAATTTAGCTGCAGTTATTAAATACAACAAATAGATGTTTTCACAATTAATACAAAATCTATAAATTCTTATCAAAAAAATGAAACAGATAAAGGGTTTTGAGTTTGGTTAATATATGATTTTTAGGTACATATACATGTTGCATAGTTGTTTTCTAATCTATGGGAAGGATATTATCACCTTAACCCACATTCAGAGTCCATAACCATGAGACTCTAGTTATACTAATTACTAATCTAAACAGAAAATGACAAAAGAAGATTTTGTGTTGGACAGCTGATAACAAAGGAAATAAATAGCATACCAGTTGTAGTGACTGTTTATGTATACGTTGTAAGGCATGCGTCCAACGCCTAATAATTTCTGCCACATCAACAGTTGGGTGAACTCTTCCACCCCTATCATCCACTCGAGAAAGAGACTCATCACTAATTTGTGAATAGGACGATCCATCACCATGTTCTTTCTCATCCAAATCACCAGACTGTACCTGAGAACTCTGATCCATAGCTGCGAGCAAAGATGAACCAGAGATGCGGTACCTGTTAACAGAAGACTATAAATGAGGAAATTGAGTCATTGGCATCTCTGCACCCAAAATGATACGTGATGGTAAATTACCTATGCTCTCTATGAGCTATCAAGTCCTCAATAGGGCCTGAAGCAAGAACTTCATGTTGATCTGTATATAGAGTATTAAGGTTGTTAAATGGAGCAGACATGAAAAAATAAAAATAAAGTAGGAATTGGCAATATCAATTACACTTATTTGAAAATGAGAAACAAGGTAAAAGCAAACTTAGCCCTGGATTTTATAAACAATCTCCAGTTGTAATGGTTTATCAATTGAATTCATTGAGAGAAAACAATGTTTGAATGTTTAATAATTAGAAGAACAGCACAATTTCTTGCAAAGGCATAGAAGTGAAAACATGGACGGAAAAGCTCCAGTATATTTCTAACATAAGTAGATCCCTACACAAGATTGAATAACCAGTAAAAGCAAATGAATCACATAGGTAAACAGGTCATGAGTAATAAAGAGGCACCAGGTCATTAAACAATTCAAACCGTTCCTTTTTCTTCACACCTTGAAAAATCCAAACCATATTGGAAATGTCAACAGTAGGTCATAGAAGTAGCACTTCTCTGAATAAAAAAAACCTAACATTCTTTTGATGATCCCCATAGTTAACAGTAGTCATGGTATTCTTTCACGAGCACCAAGAAATATAGCAGGAAATTTGAATTATATAAGGCTACTCAAAGGAATGGCAAGCTAAATCAAATGCATTTTGTAGGCACAGACATCATGCCGCAACTGTATAAACAAAGTCCATGTAGCTTAAACTCCAACATAGAAATATCAATACAAGACCAAAGAAGTAATAGAAACAAAATAAATAAGAAAAAATGCCTGATATATTAACTGCAGTTAAGAAAAGGCATACAGTTTTCACACAAAAGGGTTAGTCCATCAAAACAACTGTTTTTTTTTTTTCCTAAGAGATCTTGTAACATACAAAATTCAGGAGAATGGCAACATTAAAGTCAATAAATTTCAAATCTTTATGAGACCGTAATCTTTTGAACTTACTTTTACGAGCTAATATAGACTCCCACAAGCGAGTAGCCTTTGAAACTAAATGGGAATTCTGACTGGAAGAAGATACAAGGTCATCCCATAACTCCCCTTCCAACTTCACTTTGTTCCTCAAGTCATGTAGCTTTTCCAACTCTTGCTGCAAGTATGCCTGAGATCCAAAGTTTCCAAAGAAAATTGAAAGAATGTAAAGCCTTGTACAAAAGAATGGAACTTAAATGCCTGAAAGAATGTGACTCAGTAACCCCCTTTACCTCTTCTGCACAAAGACCACGAAACTCTGCAGTCATTTCATGAGCTAAGCTTGACCACATTGCCTGCCTCTGCACTCCTGTCTCTGCATTTTTAAGAAACTTCCTTCTTTCAAGTGCTATTCTTGCCTGTTTAAGATGAGAAGCTAAAATCAAAGCTACTCTAGAAGAAATTAATCAACTTTCAAACAGGTGCTAAAAGCATAGAGTACAGTAACAAGCAGAAGATAAGGCAACATATAAACAAAACTACAGTCTTTTTCTCAAAACCAGACAAGGAACACTGAAACTGTTCTAATCAATCGTATATTGCCATCATAAATTCAAACGAATAATCACATGACACTAACTCAGATATGAATTAAATGGAGTCTTCAAATATGAAATATTAATTAACTTCTCTTCGAATGTAGTCATTTATACTCACGTCAACAAATTCCTATCCATATTAACATGGCCTGACTACCATCATGTATTTCACTAATTTGAAAACCCCTATAAGGCACCCCACACCAGAGACTGTGACATTATCTTTGCTGGATATGATGTAAATCACCAATACCTTAGTAACTGGAAGTAGTGTAGCCGCATGTGAAAAGGCAACATCCGTTAAAGAGGCCGGGAGTGGGTTAGATGCTACATCAGCTGGAAATGTTCGTCTATGAACCTCACGTAAAGCATGCAAAGAAAGTTGCCACAGAAGTTCAACAAATCTGTCAAAAAATGAAATTACTTTCAATGATTAAAAGACAAATATCATTAATGCCCAAAAGGAACCCTGTGGATCAAATTATTATACCTATTAACCACTTAAATAGACCCCCCATTACCAAAACCCAAAAAAAAAAAAGTCCTACAAAATTAAATATAAAGACTTACTATTCACTATCAAAATTACAAACCTTAACCAACATGTGATATTTCACACAGAAAAATGTAAACCAATGACAATCACATTCAGGCGCCACAACACATTAGATGGCAGCATTTTAAAACTTATTAAGAAGTAACTTTCACGAAATCATACTACAATTGATCAATTGTGTAATACAGCTTAAAAAATGTATTCCAGAATACTAAAGAAACTCTTACACGAAAGTTTCCCATCATCCCTTCCCTAGTTCAGTTGTGAATTACCACCTAAATAAAAGCAAGCTCAGTCTCTTGTTTCTTATCTTTCCCAATCTGGAAAATAAATAATTCAAACTTTTGAATTATACATCTACAACCTCGCATATCGCCAGAATACATATAAGTGAACAGATAAAATATAAACTGAATTGGCATTATTTTCCTCAGTTTTCTCATCAACCAAACACAAATTCAGTTCAAAAAACTCAAACACCAGAGAAAAAGCAGAATACATTAAGCAACCAACCTCGGTCCACAACACGTAGCGAGTGACGAAACTCTCGAATTACTCCTCGGTAATGCCCCTTGAGACTCCAGCTCACTAATTATCCCTTGCACAACCTAAGTATCACATAACATTACCCATTAGTACCAAAAATTCAAAATAAAAAACGACAACAAAACAAAACAAAAGATAATCACCTTTCTAAAATCACGCGATTGCGCCGAATCGAAAATCGGCCAGACCTTATCGAAATCCTGAAAGATCCACAAACAAGAAAATTAAATCATGAATGATGCATTGCATTTTGGAAAAAAACAAAAAGATAAAGAGACGATGTTACTTTGGCGGATTGAGTAGGGCCGCGAAGAGATGAGAGGATGAAGTACAGAAGCTGTTCGCCTAATTTAGGGTTGGAGTGACGGAAGAGTCCGACCCGAGGAGTGCCGTTGGATGCTCCGAGCCCGATTATCGATGGATCTAAACCTAATAACAAACAGTTTGTGTACATTGCACTCTCTAGCTCTATCTCTCTTTCCTTCTCTCTGTCCATCGTCATCACCACCACCACCACCGCTCTCTCCCTCTCTCTCTCTCTCTATCGAGATTTCTTCTCTTTCTCCTCTTTCTCTCTCTCTCTCAGTTGCTTTCCGTTCTGGTTGGTTTTTTTTATTATTAATTTAAAATTTTAATTCGTTGTTTTTTAAATGTAAGTCCCTAGGGATTCTCATAATTGTGAAACAGACCTCGGATATGAAGCTTTTTTTTAATTTTGAAAAAGTTAGTGGGGCCGAGCGGGGAAATTTTGGTCCTTTTGGACGAATGAAAGGATTTGAAATGGGGAGTCGATGCTAACGTGCGCAGGTGATGTTGTTGCCGGCCGGATTTGAATTGCTTAGGTGGCGTCATCAAGGTTTCGGTTGGAGGCTATAATACAATGTTTCGCGGGTTCACTGTAGCAATCCATTCATTCGAAGTCACCCAAAACAAATGCATTTTGATTCATCCCAACATTATAATTGTATGAAGTTAAATGAAAAATAAAATAATCAAATAAATGCGTATACGATATTAATAAATATATAATTTTTTTCGTTTTCTGGTCGAATTTCATTGACTATATTTATATATTTTGTGGATTTATTTATTGAATTAAAACCTAATGTTATAATCCTAATAAAATTATATCAAGACATTTTAGCTAGAGAATTATTTTAAATAATTAACTACATTTGTTTGTATTATGTTAAAAAAGTGTAATGAAGAAAATATTATAAGATGAGGAATTGGGATTTGATGAGGACAAAAAGGGAAAAATGAGTGTTGAAATGGATAAGATTTGATTTATTACAAATGGGTAAGTGATGCTTAAAATAAGAGTGAGTTAAGGTGCACATATTTTTTTGCTTAGCTTAAGTGCCAAATTATCCCTTAATAAGATGTAACTTGGGATATGGTAAAGGGCGAGGTGACTAAAGGAAATGGTATATATTAATATAACATAACACATATAACTATAAGACAAAAAGATTTTTTGGATAAGTGATATTTATTTTCATTTGTGATTGTCTTATTACTACTTAAATTTATGTCATTTTTCTATCTTTTCACCAACATAATGATGCACCCAGCCGGCCACCCATTTACAATTATTTTAAAAAATGGACAAAGGGTAACAAGTCATATTATTGATATTTTTTTTGTTTTTATAATCCGGCCAGCTTGCGTGTATCTCAATTAATCTTTAAAATTCATTGAACACTTTACAAGTTTAATTTCAATTAATCCCAAATGCCTATTATATATATTTTTCTTTGATAATCCGAGTCAGTTTTTGGACATCTCAATTAATCCCCAAGGCCCATCAAACACCTTTCAAGCCCAACATCAACTAATCCCTAAGACCCATCGAACACCCTATAAGACCAACCTTAACTAATATCCATAACACATTGAATACTCTATAAGTCCAACTTAAACTAATCACCAGGCCCATTGAACACCTTAGAAGCTCAACCTCAACTAATCCTCGAGATGCATTGAACACCTTACAAGCCCAACTTCAACTAATCCCCGAGCTCATTAAATACCCTACAAGCTCAACCTCAACTAATCCCCCAGCCCAATTGAACATTCTATAAGTCCAATATTTCAGGCAAGCCATAAATGTGGTTGGTGGCCCCAAAGTGATTTGAACTATGGGTGATCGGTTCCATGTACCCAACTTTTTTTAAGTAACCAGAACCCTAATCGACCAGTTCCTAAGATTTGGAATCGAGACTAAAACCTAAAACATTGGTTCCGTTTTCGGTTCCAGGTACCTAAGCAAATTTTAATTACTCCCAACTTTTTAAAAAATGACAAATACACCCCTTAAAAATGACAAATACACTCCCAACAGTCTACAAAGATTACAATTTAGTCTTGGTTTCTACTCGGGTACCTAGACCTCGATTCCGATTATGGTTTCCGATTCCAACACTATAGGAATCAGAACCAGGCTCGGGAATTCCTGATTCCTACCCTGAATCGGCGAGTATTAGAGATTTATGTTCTTCATTTGGCACATATTATATAAAAAAAAAAAATAGTCTTAATTGTTTGATTATTCTATAATGATGATGTATATCTTTCGATTTAAGCGAAAATGACTATTATCGATTTAATAATGCTATCCATTAATCTCGCGGTGGTCTTATATAGGAAGTGAACAAATTAGTAAGTTATTCGTGATACTTCTATTCCTCAACTATTGTTAATCAAATAGAAAGGTAACTATTAAGGAATAGTTGCATTGGACCACGTTGTGAACCTCCTTAATATATCATCATTGTTAACAACTTTTATTTTCCCGAAAAGGAACCACTAACAAAAGTAATCCAATTGTTTTTGCTTGAATTCTAAATATATAACTTGTTAATTATTCATAGTAATAGTGGTCCAATATAACTGCTTTTATATAAGTTAGAATATTGTGGTATAATAACATGAACCCAATTCCTAATCGTCAAGAAGGTTTGTTCTCTTCGTTGATTTTCAGGATTCAAACCACTTTGAGGTCACTTATCACATTTATAGTTTACTTAAAATATTAAGTTTGTAGGATATTCAATGAATTTCAGAGATTAGTTAAGATGTACATAAGGTCGTCGGACACCCTGATTAAAAAAAAAAAAAAAAGAGGACCTAATTGAAGTTCAATTAAGAGTCTGCAGAAGGAAATGACAGGTCGAACAATTAAAAGCCCATCGGACTTCAATATTGGGTCAAATTGTTGAAAGACCCAAAACACAAAAGAAAACGACAAGAAGGCCCAGAATACAAAAGAGAGTCATAACGGGCCACGGCCCTTTTACAGCACCGAACCGGCCCAAATTAGAAGAGAAACCCGTTTCATCTTGTTACGTACAAGCGCCGACTTGCAGAAAGAAGAAAGGAATTACTTAAATTTAAGCAGTCCCAATCGTAAAATGAGAAGAACTTAAAGATCAAGACTCAAAGACTCTGCTTCTTTCGCTGATGTTAGTTGATGGTTCTTCGCCAGTGCCTTTGAAGAGGAGGAGACACATCAACATTCATCCAATGGAACTTGAATCAGCTAAGGTCACTTTCTTTATCACCAATTTTCATCATAATTTTTATCGGTTTTTGCTCGTCTTTCGATCTGGGTTCTGTCTAAGACCGCTTTTTATGCTTTTGTAGTTTGATTTTTTATCTGGGTCATGTGCTCTTTTGTTTTAAGTTAAATTTGATATGAATTTTGAAGAAATAATAACAATTAAAGGTCACAGTTTTGAAAACTGAATTCTTGGATAACAAGTTTGGATATATAGGATTCAGATACTAGCTCCTTAACATGTAAAGATAAATTATTGTTACTTTCGATATGTAAAGTGATGCTTATTGTTAAAGTTTCATTGAGTTGTTTGATTTTTGTACTTTATATCAACATGATTTTAAGTTAAAAACATTGTTGAACGCTTTTACATATAGATTCTTCAATGTCAATGGCTCTTGTTTGATGGTTTATAAGGTTGTCTTTGCAGTGCTGTTGTTCTGATTGTTTTTGGCTGAATTTTATCAGGCTAAGCTTGCAGCTGCCAAAGAGAAGTATGGACGAGAAATTCGTGTGTTTGAAACACCTGGACTTTCTTCATCGTCAACTGCAGTTTCCACCACTGGTAAGAATAACCTCGAGTCCAAAACCCCTTATTTAGGTGAAATGTGCTGACTACTGCACTGGTAATGTCTTGATGAAGCATTTGTTTACTTTTTGGCCAGAGGAGACGGATGACTTTTACGAGTTCACTGCAGAAGATTATTACAGACTTCTGGCAACTAAAAAGCAAGGTAATTTTTTTTTTCACGGCCATAATATATAATGTAATTATGACAGACAAAAGGAGAAGGCTGTTCTTCGAGTGTGCATCATTTATATAGAATTGGATTTTGGGAGAACTGCTCAACATCTTCTTGAATCCATATTTGTGGTTGATAGTGGATGACGGTTGATATATAAATGTACAACTTTTGAGTTGTAAAATTAGGAATTAGTGGGTTGGACATGTATGATATAGCATGTTATATATATATATATATATATATATATATATCAACAAGGAATCCATTTTTGTATATTTTCGTGTTAGGTATCATTTGCCCATGCCATTATTTGTGAATGTGGATTTGTATTGCTTTCTTGTATTTGTACATACTTAAGGTATATGGGGAATGAATAAAATTTAACTTGCGAGTGTTAGTTAGTTTAGCTAGTTAGATTTGTTGGCATTAGAGATCTCACATCTTAGTCACTCTCTTATTAGGGTTTGGAGTAAACATAAAGACACTTGTATTGATTTACATGTACAATAAACAATTTTTTACAGGTTGTTTACTACTTCTTATGATGTCTAAATGAAATTATGAACAGATAAATTCTTAAAGACACGCAAAATCCGAGAGGCAGAAGAAGCGGCTCGCAGGTCAAAAATTACGAAGGTGCTCGCCGTACCATTTTTGAAATTTTAATTTGTTCTTGTGTTGCTGGAGGGAGAAACATAATAAGCTATTGTGAAATTTTGGTGCATATTATATTCCAAACACTAGGTCAGGTTAATAAGTTTATAACCCATGGATGAAGTTCATTTGCTCTTGTATGCAGGCTGTAATTAGGATCCGCTTTCCTGATGGTCATACACTGGAGGCCACTTTCCATCCATCAGAAACAATTCAGAGCTTAGTTGATCTTCTTATGAAAGTGGTTGCTCGACCAGATCTACCATTTCATTTATGTAATGTATTTGAATTTTAAACTTTTGTTATAATCATCAAAGAGACATGTTACATTATGAAACTAATGTTGTAAAGTCTAACAATTGCTTGTTTTGCAGATACAACTCCCCCAAAGAAGGTAATAAAAGACTTGTCGCAAGATTTTTTTGCGGCTGGCTTTATTCCTGGCGCTATTGTGTATTTTTCTTATGATCCACCTAAAGGTTAGAGTGTGCTTTCAGATGCTATAATTCTCTTGTATGCTTTAATTTTTTTCTATATATATTATATAACAGTAGATCATTTTTATATTGTTTCGTTGTATCATTTGTAATGTGATCTTTTATTGTTTTCTGCTTGTGGTGACTTACATTTGTTCCTTAAAGCATGGATCCTTAGTAATCCATGCTTTAGTTTCAGAGCCACTGTTATTTTTACTTGTTATTTGAATGGGGCTTTAGACCAGTTTTTGCTGGAGTTTAGTTCCAAGGTTTCTCCTGTGAATCCTTTTAATCAGTGACGTGTGTTAAGTGTGCACTCTTTTTTTAAGATTAATCATAACAACTTGATGTTATATACTTATGTGTGAAAATGTGCAATAATGCTACGGACATCGGGACTGTGCACCGAATTCTTACACCGAATTACGTGTCACGTGACTCAGACCAGCCACGTATCCCGTTAACAAATATTTTGTGAGCGAACGGCCGTTCATCAACTATGGACGACTGTTCTTGAATTTTGGACCCCCGTCCACATATAATGGACACCTGTCCATACTTTAAAAAAATAAAATGTATATAAAATGAAGGGACGCTTGTTCATCGGTTATGGATGGCCGTCCTTGAATTTTGGATGGGCGTCCACATATAATGAACACCCGTCCATACTGGAAAGTTTTAAAAAAAATTTATGGATGCCCGTCCATTATTCAGTGGACGGGCGTCCCTCACTGCTTAAACTGAACAAATGGGCTCTTGAGGTACTCTGTTTAATCAGTTTTGCTTGCTTTTGAATATATTTGTGCGGAAACTTATAAAGCAATAACATGTTTGTTTAAATGTTTGATTGAAATCTTTTAGGTGCAATTAAATGTTTGACTGACTGTACGGTATTTGGATTATTTATTTTCAAAAACTGTCATAAATTTAATAATGGACGCCCGTCCATTGAATAATGGAAATGGACGGGCGTCCATAATTTTTTTTAATTTTTTTTTAAACTTTACAGTATAGACGGGTGTCCATTAAATGTGAACAGGGGTCCAAAATTCAGGGACGGCCGTCCATAAGTGATGAAAGGGCGTCCCTGCATTTTATATACAATTTTTTTTCTTTTTTTTTTTTAAAGTATGAACGGGCGTCCATTATATGTGGACTCCCGTCCATAGTAAATGGACTTCCGTCCATATAATATGGACATGAGTCTATCGTTCATTTCACATGGACGGACGTCCACATATAATAGACTCCTGTCTAATAACAGTGAACGACCGTCCATAGTTGATGAATATTCGTTCACTCGCAAAATATTTGTTAACGAGATACGTGGTTGGTTTGAGTCACATGACACGTAATTCGGTGTAAGAATTCGGTGAACAGTCTCGGTGTCCGTAGCATTATTGGAAAATGTGATGATCTGATATTTGTTAAATGAGAGCTACTGCTATTTCCTTCTTCCCATCCCATTTGCTCACTTGAGAAATGCTTGAAGTGAATTTTGGTGTATGCCAATGCTAAATTTTCGATTTCTATTGCAAATGCTGGTTACTTTCACCCAATTATTCTTTTGGTGAATCTTTATGAATGAACAGTACCCCAACTCTGCTATCTTTAGTCTATTGATTTAAGATTGACTTGCTTTGTGCAATGAATATGAAACAATAACTAATAACTTACATTTCATTCTTTTTCTTATGGTCAGGTGATGATACTGCAGCTGTTAATTCAGACTCATTCCTTCAAGAAGATATTTTGTCTTTGAAAGATTTGGAAATCGTTGATGAGCAGCCAGAGCCTGTTCAGTCTGCACCAGAACCTGTAGTAGCCTCTCCCCATCCTTCTGTTCAAGAGCAGAAATCTGCTGAGAAAAAGCCTGTCAAGCCAAAGTGGCTGAAAATGTGATGGCATCCTGCAAGTGAGCTCCTCATAGCTGGTTTGACTGTTTGGTCCACCTTGACTGGGGTTATCCGCCATCTTAATGTGCTGAGTCTGATTGTAGCCTTGGTTGCTGCTGATGAACTTAAAACATCTGCTCTCCAAATCTTACTATTTATAGAAAAATTTCAGCCAAAACTAGAATTTGTTTCATCTGTAAAGGGTCTAACTGCTATGGGAATCAGTTCTTTTCGCAACTGTTGCACATTGTTATTGTTAATCTTTCTACAGTCGGTCATGTGTGAATATTTATATGTATCAATGTTGTGCTTCCTTTTCTACATGACCACCTTTTTTCAACTGCATAATCTGACCCATAAGATGTCAGTGTTCTTATCATTTAACTCACAAATCCTTAGTGTAAACTCCGAATAGTGTTTTATATTAATTGATCTTGTTACATACAGAGAACTGATTGTAATTTTCTTGTATTGTATTGGTAAATTATACATCAATATATAGGAAAATAAAGAACTAATCTAGGAAATGAATAATCTAACTTCCTATTTTATAGTTTTGTTTCTAATATATATTGATCATAATTATAATATCTTATTATAGATTTATGTACTTAATCATGCAATATCTGTAAGATTTTGCATGATTATCTACAACACTCCCCCTAAAGATGGAGCATAGATGTTAATCATGCCCAGCTTGTTACAAATATAATCAATCCGAACCCCATTCAAAGCTTTAGTGAAAACATCTCCTAGTTGCTCTCCAGTCTTCACATATTTTGTAGAGATTAAACATTGCTGTATTTTCTCACGAATGAAATGACAATCAATTTCAATGTGCTTAGTTCATTTATGAAATACGGGATTAGAAGCAATATGAAGGGCGGTTTGGTTATCAGTTATCACATCACAATTTCGCTGGCAAAAAGGCCATAAGACCAACTTCAGTCAAAAATTGATATATCTATATTACTTCACACACAGATTGGGCCATAGCCCTATATTCTGATTCTGCACTAGATTGGGACACAGCAGTTTGCTTCTTACTTTTCCATGAGACCAAATTTCCACCAACAAAAACACAGTAGCCCATAGTGGATCTCCTATCTATCTTGAAACCTGCCCAATCTGCATCAGAGAAGCACTCAATATTATTATGTCCATGATTTCCGTAAAAAATACCACATCCTACAGCTCCTTTCAGATAACATTAAATCTGTTCTAACGCTGCCCAATGGTCAACCATAGGAGAAGACATGAATTGACTTACTACACTGACAAAGTACGCAATATCAGGATGAGTGACTGTTAGATAGTTCAACTTTCCAACCAGTCTTCTATACCTCTCAGGATCTTCAAACATTTCACCATTTTTGGTAAGTTGCAAATTAGGAAACATTGGCGTACTGCATGGCTTAGCACTCAATTTTCCTGTCTCAGTTAATAAGTCAAATACATATTTCCTTTGAGAGAGGAATATGCCTTTCTTGCTCCTTGTTACCTCAACCCCCAAGAAATACTTCAACACTCCTAAATCTTTTGTATGAAACTGGGTGTGAAGAAATGACTTAAGTAATGAAATCCCTATAGTGTCATTCCTAGTGATGATAATGTCGTTAACATATACGACAAGAAAAATAATGCCAGCTGCCGATTGTTTGTAAAAGACTAAGTGATCAGACTTGCTCTTTGTCATTCCGAACTTTTTAACTACTTGACTAAACTTTCCAAACCAAGCACGTGGACTCTGTTTCAAACCATATAACGATTTGCGAAGATGACAAACTTTCCCATACTCCCCCTGAGCAACATACCCAGGTGGTTATTCCATATAGACTTCTTCCTGAAGGTCACCATGTAAAAGAGCATTTTTTATGTCGAACTGATGCAATGGCCAAGAATGAGTAGCCGCCATAGAGATAAATAAGTGAACAGAAGTCAATTTAGCCACAGGGGAAAAAGTGTCAGAATAATCCACTTCATAAGTTTGAGCATAGCCTTTAGCTACAAGATGAGCTTTAAGCCTAGCCACTGACCCATCATGATTTACTTTAATAGCAAACACCCATTTGCATCCAATAGGTCTCTTTCCAGTAGGTAAGTCAACCAAGGTCCAAGTACCATTAACATCTAAAGCATTCATCTCTTCTATCATAGCATCACGTCAACCAGGATGAGATAAGGCTTCATGAACAGTTACAGGAAGGGAGACAGAGTCTAGTGATGCCACAAAAGAACAAGAAGAAGATGACAGGTGATCATAAGAAACAAATGAAGAGATGGGATAAGTACACTGACGTTTACGTTTCCGAAGAGCAATAGGAAGATCAAGATCACTCAAGGCTGGATCCAACGACGAAGAGTCTTGGGCAAGACATGAATTCTGAGGGTCTTCTTGATGAGGAACACAGGTATCGGGATCACTGGAGACTGGATCTAGCGACGAAGGGACTGGTACAAGAGGTTCATGTCAACAAGAATAGACAATGTGAATTGGAGGTAGTGGACGAACATGAGGTGGTGTCGGAGGAGGAACAGTAGGTGGAGAAGCCTCAGGTGTAGGAGTAACCGGTAGGGATGTGGCAGTATAGATTAGTAAGTCATCATCCTCCCCCTGACTTGTATAGGTAGACGAAGTAGGAAAAAAATGGGTGTTTTCTAAGAAAGTAACATCAGGTGACACCAGATATCTATTAAGACTAGGACAATAGCATTGATATCCCTTCTAAAGGCGAGAGTAACCTAGAAAAACACATTTAAGAGATTTGGGATCTAACTTGATTACGTGGAGTCGAACATCACGAGCAAAATAAGTACTACCAAATATCTTTGGTGCAATAGGAAACAAAGGCTTAGCCAGGAAGAGAACACTGTAAGGAGTGAAACCATTCAGAATAGATGAAGGTATGCGGTTAATTAGAAAACAGGCCGTGGAAACTGCATCGGCCCAAAACTGTTTAGGAACTTCCATTTGAAATAATAGGGCTCGGGCAGTTTCAAGAAGGTGCCTATTTTTCCTCTCAGCTACTCCATTTTGGGATAATGTGTCAACACAAAAGGATTGATGAAGAATGTCATGTTGACTCATATAAGACTGAAAAGAACTCGAAAAATATTATTTGGCATTATCGCTTCTTAATGTCTAGATAGAAGTATTAAATTGAGTTTTAACTTAAGCACAAAAGGCACAAAAATGAGAAAACAACTCAAAACTATTTTTCATTAAATAAAGCCAAGTTACATGAGAGTTGTCATCAACAAATATAACAAAATATTTAAATTCAGGTTTAGACATAATAGAACACGGACCCAAAACATTTGAATGAACTAATTTAAAAGGGACACTAGCCTGTTTAATGACTCTTGGACTTGAAGGAAGACGGTGGTGTTTGGCAAATTGACATGACTCACAATCTAACAAAGATAATTTATTAAACTAAGGACATAGTTTATTTAACAATGGTAAAAAAGGATGTTCTTATCGACAATGCGCCTCAAAAGGGGTCGAAATACTAGAACTTGCAATGGTTCTGGGCACCTATGTGTCACGGATGTAGAGCCCTCCAAATTCATGTCCTTTACCAATAATCCGCCTTGTCGTAAGATCCTAAAACAGGCAATGATCAGGAAAAAAATGAGAGGCAACATTTAAGAGCATGAGTGAGTTTACTCACAGAAATTAAAGTAAAAGCGAACTGTGGTAGACTCAATACAGAGGATAGGGAAATTGACGAAGTAGGGTTAACAGACCCAACCCAAGAACACAAGAAGTTGACCCATCAGCTAAAGTAACATTAGACGAGGAATTATGTGACTGATATGTTAAAAAGAGACTAGGATTACCAGTCATATGATCTGCGGCACCAGAATCAATGACCCATTTAGAGGATGAGGAAATAAGACATGTATTTGGTTTACCTGACTCGGCGAGAGCAATGATGGAAGTAGATGAGGACTTCAATGATTCTTGATACTGAGAAAACTTGGCAAACTCATCAGCTGAAATCATAACCGTCTTCTCAGAAGTATCAGTAGCGGCAACATGAGCTGATTGAGTTTTTTTGGGCCTTATTTTGCAACTTTCTATACGTGCGCTTTGTATGACCAGGTTCATGACAATAGTAACACACAATCCCTCCTGACTCCTGACTCTGATTATCACGATAATTCGAACCCCTCCTCTATTATTGCTCCTGTTATATGAACGCCCGGTATCATTATTATGACGTGTCATTATTCTGACTTACAAGAGCACTACTCGACTGAACAGATGGAGTGCTTTCTGTACGAAGAACCCTAGTAAATATGTCTTGGAGGGAGGTGATCTCAGAACTGAGGAGAACTTGAGATTTAGCAGATTCAAACTCAAAAGGGAGTCCAGCTAAGAAACTCATAACCGCCATTTTCTCTCGTTGAGTTTGTTGAACTTTCACATCAACACTCACCAGTAAAAAGACATTAAGTTCTTCATATATCATTTTAAAGTCTATAGAATAGGCCGTAAGAGACCTATCTTGTTTCCTAGACAAGCGGTGAGAAAAAAAGGGCCACTCTCCAGGGTGACTCACAAATAATGCTTACTTGAGCAGAAAAGAAAACGAAATTGAAAAACAACCTAGAATTGCTCTAATACCATGTTACAAATAGAGAAATGATTGTAATTTTCTTGTATTGTATTGACAAATTATACACCAATATATAGGCAAATAAAGAACTAATCTAGGAAACAAATAATCTAATCTAGGAAACAAATAATCTAACTTTCTATTTTACAGATTTGTTCCTAATATATATTGATTACAATCCTAATATCCTATTATAAATTTATACACTTAATCATGTAATAGCTGTAAGATTTTGCTTGATTATCTACCACAGATCTGATATTATTTATAAAATTGGGATCACTCGCCATACACAGCCTTATGCAGAATTATTATATGAATGACTGCAGTTTGATGTTGTGAGAGCTTCGGTTAAGGGCTTGGGCTTAGGCCGGAGAAATCATATTTGGGTTTCAAGTTAATATTCATTTTGGATTGGCCCAGTCTGTTTCTTTAATTTATTTAACTTAGGACCTGCCAACCAAAGCTGAAGTTGTTTTGACATTTTTACCTTCTTTATTTGGTTCATACCTGGTCATAAGAAAAATCACCATTATTGCTCTTCTAATAAGTTTAATTGCCCACCCATAACTATGAAACTTTCTATTCCTCACTCAAAATAAATTTTTATAGTGTTTAATTGAATTAAAATATCCGAAATATTGTAGCACAAAATATGAACACATTAATTATAGGTCAAAATATGTACAGTCTTGAACTAAAACCATTTATGACTTTTGGGCTTGAGCTTGTGAAAACCGCAAGACTAAAGGCAGCTCCATTTGCTCATTTTCAATTTTCAAAGACGAAGTTTTTGTACCATT